TTTGATAAAAAGGAAAAAATAAGTCAAAAATTTTGCGAAAATATTTATTGTTGGGTTACGGTAGCACTCGTTTGCCGGTTGTGTTTTCGAAAATTCTCCTTGAAATACGGTGGCCTAACTTGTGTGAAAATTCGGCCACAACTCCAATTTTTTTGCACAAGAATAATACTCCAATATCACAGCAGGCTGGTGGTTTCCCTGAACCAATATCCGGATTTATCCTTATTTCGATTATATTCAAAAAAAAACTTCACAAAAAAACTTTATTATGTCAACACTTCAATGAGCATTAGATCCTTCACACATTGCCACCATGAAGATTGATTAGATATCTGAAAAAAATCCCTTTGATCCTTGAAGACGTCCTCAGCTTACGGTATTCACACCACGAGTAGAGTTGTCTATCGGTGCACCCCATCGAACAGCAATCAAGGGTGTTCAATATGTCAGCTTGGATTATTCCACCGTTGCACAAAAAGGAAACACGACGGTTGAGAGATTCTCCGCAAGTCTGGAATTTCGAGAAAATTCGGGAACATTTTTTAAATAATTTTTCCCGCGCTTTTTGAAGCAGTTCAATTTGAAGCTTTCGCTTCGAGATTAACGCCTCTTTGAAAACATTAGCGTTAGAGCGCATTTAAATCCGAAAGAGAGAAACTTACACGATAAACATGATGCTTGTTGACGTGAGGTTGGAAGAAAGCATCAGAGAATCCGTTGACAGCAAGAATCAGAGCAACGAGAACAAAGAGGCAACGCATTTTCTGTAGAATCAAAGTTACTGTCATGTTTGAGCTATTATTCTTGTGCAAAAAAAATTGGAGTTGTGGCCGAATTTTCACACAAGTTAAGCCACCGTATTTCAAGGAGAATTTTCGAGAAAGTGTCAACTGATAAAATATTGATGATGTTATGCCTAACAATTTATCAGTTGACAATTATTTGAAATCTTTTACAGAAAGCCAGATAAATTGGCTCAAAGTTAGGGGCCCTCCAGTTTCCGGAAAAAACGAAATTATGATTATACCAAGATTTTTGTTCCTTTTATAGGTCCGAGAAGACGACAAAAACTATAATTTTGATTTTTCCGTGGGTGGTATTTTTGACGAAAACCGGTATTATGAATAACAAGAATAATGAAGACGTTCGTTGTTTTCTGGAAAATACAAAAAATATCAGGTAATTTCTGTTATCAATGACGATGATGGCAAATCGGAATAACACTTCATTTTCTTGAAGTTAGAGCAGTGATCAGTTTTCCAGGATACTGTAGATTTGGAAAATATGTTTATAGAAATTCAGTTACTTGTGAATTCTAAAAAAAACAAGTTCGAAATTTGAGAATATCCTGAAAACCAATCCAGAACTTTGGAAAATTTAAATATTGTTTTTGTCCATGAAGCAGGTACAAAAAATACGAAGCATTGTTAGATTACGGTAGTTTTCGTTAAGTGATTCCTACCAGAGATGTCCGGAATGAATTTTTTGAGAAACGGAATCCGGAATCCGGACAAATAAAAATTTCACGGAATCCGGAATATTGAGTTCTCCTAATGGGCAGAAAAGTTCTAAAAACACATATCGTGCTTTATTTTTGCATTTTTAGTAGCGGGAGTTCAAAAAAGTCAGAGGATTCTTGAAAATTAACAAATATGTTTAAAATCCGGAATAAAAAATTTTCTAGGAATCCGGACAAACGAAAATTTTCCGGAATCCGGAATACGGAATCTGGACAAAAATATTTTTCACGGAATCCGGAATCTGGAATCCGGAATGAAAAAAAGCACGGAATCCGGAATCCGGACATCTCTGATCCCTACCAGAATACTACCGTATTTCCTCTAATATTAGGTTGGTCGGAAAGTAATGCGCGTTTTTGATGTACTTTAGAGTTATTGTAAAAACGAAGCAAAGATATATTTATCAAGGGGATATTGTCTATCATTAATGACCGCTTACTGCCAACCTATGTGCAAAGATTCGATGCCTCTACTAAAGAACGCCACTGGCTGTGACTCGAAGCAGTTCGTTACCCTAATTTTGACTTTTTCCACATTCTTGAACTTTTTCTCAGCGGGGCGGTACTTTATTGATTGAAACAACAAGTAGTCAGTTAGTACCACACCTCGGCTGTAAGGCGGTTAAAAAAGCACTTCCCAACCCAACTCCAAAAAAAATCTTTGAGCCATTTTTGTAATGTGTATTCGAGCGTTGTCGTGAACCAGAAACTTTGCCGATGTGCCCAGTCCTTGCCGTTTGAGGTCTAGGTCCACGCGGTACAGCTAACTTTTGTCACGATCAGTAGTCACTATTTGACTATGCTTTAGAAATTCAAAACACACCAGACCTCGCGTATTCCACTAGACAAATTGCATAACCTTTTCTCCGTGCATGATCAGTTTTATGGTCGGTTTCGGTGCCTCGCCATGATTTAGTCACTGTCTTTTTTTTACCAATGCACTCAAACTGAGTTCATCTCTCATCCAACATCAGAATTGGATTCAAGAAACCACGGTTTTTGAACGCCGCAAGTGAAAACTAGCCACTTCGACGCGCTTCATCTTGTTATCATTAGAAAGTTCGTGTAACACCCGTTTTCCGCATGTATTCGTTTTTTCCAGAATTGTGATTAGGGTAAAATTAAAATGTCCTCATAAGCAGCGAGTTGTTAGGCACAGTTCCAGTTGCTTGTCCCAAAGCATCGTCGGCAACGCTTTTCAGACAAAACTGCGTGTTTTGCCTTACAAGCATTCGTCGACGCCACCGGAATGTTGGAACCAGCGTCAATATCGATTTTCGAATAGGGCATATTCTCTTAATACTGACGAAAAAAGCGGTCAGCTTTGGCGGCTGTTTTGAATTCATAATAAAAACAGGCTCAGAAGCGAAAATTTTGATTGTGCATCTTTTCATATTTTTTTCTAATTCAAAGATAAATTCAAACAGTAAAGTAATGAAAACAAAGCTAAAGACATGCTCTTTATAATAAATAAAAAATTAACCCGAAGCCGTCGTTTACTGGCGAATTACAAAACACCAGACTTAGCGCGCATTACTTTTCGACCACCCTAATAGAAACCCATCAAAGCCGCCAACTTTGAGCTTAGTTATCTTGATTCCTGTGAAATATATCAAAAAGTTGTCAACTAATGAATTATTTATCATGATATCACCAATAATTCATAAGTTGACAAAATTTTGATACCTGTCACAGGAATTGAGCACAAATCTTGGTATGATTCTATTAGAGAAAATACAGTAGTTTCGACGGATTTTATAATCCTTGAAATTGACAAAATTCTTCAATTGATTTATTTTGAATCAACGATCATATCAAAATCTTAAAATTAGAAAAAAGATAGAAGTCAATTAAAAAGTATGGCTTCGATATTTGAAAATTTAGAATCAGTAAAACAAATTAGTGTGATTTTGATGGTTGGCGAATTTGTGGGGTTTCATAGTGCAGAACATTTTCAGATGTGCTCTGGAGCAATGAGTTGAAGGAGAACAGCATTTCGATAGCAGAGTGACGAGTTCTGAAATATTTTCAGTCATATTACTTTAAACTTTGTGCGGATTTATCTGGGTTCCTGTAAAAGATAAAGAAAAGTAATTAACTGACAAAATGTTCATCATAATATCAAAAATATTTTGTCCGTTAAGAACTTTTTTATATCTTTTACCGAAAATGAGATATATGAGCTCAAACTCACTGTCTTCTTTTATTCCATGTCTGCAGAGCTTCGTTAGCTTGGCAATGAACTTTGCTTGACATTGGACATCTTCCATGCTTACAAAGTTGATGAGAATTAAAGTTAGAATTAGAATTTTGAACAGCATTGATATTTTTTTGAAGAAAAAAAAACAGAAAAGCAAAACGAATGAAGCCTGGTTTGGGTCTTACGCTTGAACGCTAATCAGATGAGTAATTTGGAAATTGTAGTTTTCTGATTTTGACAACAAACCACACGAAAACTGGTGAAGCAGTTAGTTTTCTTAAAACAGGAAATAGGAGCGTCACCGGAAACATATCAAGAAGAGATTAGATCTGGAAGAGAGCTGAAAGATTATTCCTCTACTTTCAGTTAGTTGCTAATCCTACACAAAGTGATAAATGCTTGTTTTTCTAAATGACTCATGTTGCTCGGATCCTGATCAAAATAGAATCCCAGTTTGGAGTTCTGAAGTCCAATGTTCTGATGTGAGGATTACGGTAGTCACCTGACATTGGAGTGTTTTCAAAAACAATTTTTGTTCTTCAGATTTTGTTTTTTGGGTAAGGACTATAATTTCTAGGCTACAAATGAAGACATCTAAAAAATCAAGAACAACAGAATGGAAGTTTTTTTAAATGTTTGTGATTATAAAGAAAAGCCTAGAAATGCGGAATTTTGAAGACCTTGAAAGTTTCATGTCCGTTTCATGTTGTCAAGTCTCCTGTTTTCATGTTTCATGTTTTCAGAATTCCCTTATTGTTCAGGCTGAAACTTTGAAATTCGAGAATTCGAATTTTTAGAAATTTAGCCTACTAATATACGAATCATTTCAGATTTTCGTATTTCCAGTCTGTTTAAAACCATTTTTATCAATCAAGGGTAATTTTCAGCGATTGATAGTCTTTTTCAGTTTATTTTCAGCCTAAACAGCTTCAAGCAGCTTCCAAAAAATCCAACTTTTTAAGGGGGATTTCCAGCAATTTTGTGCAAAATTTAAGACCTTTTTACGTTTTTCAGCTATTTTCAAAGATTCTAATTCGATTTTTCCGGTTTTTCTTGTCTGAAATTTGACGGGACGGCGTCCTTGACGGAATATTACTGTAGATTACTGTAGAAAACTCACGCCAAAATGAAGATAAAAACGTGATTTCTTGCAAAAAAAAATACAAAATGCTAGGTTTCCTACAGTAACCTACAGTAATCCCCACAAACACCGTTCCGTCAAAGTTTGGACAGAAAACCAGAAAAATCGAAAAAAAATCTTTAAAAATAGCTGAAAAACCTTAAAAAAAAGTCTGAGCATTTTGCGAAAAATCACAGAAAAAAATCAATTGCTTTATTATCTAGAAAATTCTGGAAACAATTTATTTAGAGGATTCATAATGCGTTCAGATATCCAGAAACTCGAAACTTTTGAAAATCGAGGATGCAAATATTCCAGTTTTCAGAATTCCGAAAATTCAGTGAACCACTATTTCAGCAAAACTATAACATTTGAAATGGGAGGGACGAAGATAAAACCGATGTACAGGGTTAACTCCTCGGATTCCAGTTTTAATTAGCATTAAATTCGCGTAAAACTTTGTATATGGCTCAAATTCAGAGTACAAAAAGACAAAAAATTCATCAGTAAACTGACCAAGTTTTAAGTTATCTGATCAACTTTGAGCTGAGTTATCGGTTGTCAAAGTTGCTTCATCTCATCAAAATCACAAGAAACGTTAGGCCTATGGTTGTTGGACAAACACAACAATATCTAGATTTGAGGAACCGCTTTGAACATTTCAGTTGCTTTGAACAAAAAGTTAAATTAAATTTCTACCAATTTTCATAATTCCAAGATATTTATGTATAAAGATATGCCCGCTTTTATCAGTCCGGGTAGTTCTGTGCCGTCCTGTATGAGGCGCCGTGGGAAAAATTTGGACAAGACTGGAGACATAAAAAATGTTCTGTACGTGTTTTGCCAGTGTATTCAAATCTTTGGGGACAGTAAACCCCAAAGAAACCTCTCTAACTCGAATCTCCAAAAATCATTTGCTACGTTTCAAAAAAATTTTTCTACTTTTTTATCTTCGATTTTTCCATTTCCCTCCATTTTGATTATTTATCACCGTTGAGACATGGGAACGGTAAGTAAAGGTGGGCTTCTCCTGATTCTTCTTTTCAAAATCCCAACCTCCAAAGTTCCAGATAATATTGAGAATCAAGTGCCTGAAGCCGTTGAACTGGCCGCCGGCTACAGAATTCTAGACTACAAAGTAGTCCGCTTCATTGCCCGAGGAGCATTCGGCGCTGTTTATCAGGTGACTTTTGGATTCTGAGTCATACATACAAAACATGCCTTGTGTCCTTCTATTTTTCCCTCCGCCTCAAGTCTCCATAGTGAATCTCATAAAGCGGGAGAGAAGATTTCCATTTCTTCCGAAATTTCGACAACTATACAAATATTCCTTACTGCTCCAACAAAAAATTCCGTCTTTCCATACACAGAAGATTTTGTGGTGATAACAACAACTTATGACCACGGACCCTTCTGTATCTGGAAGAACCGGAATCCTTTAAGTAATATTTTTACCAATTTTTAGGTTGACCATATAAACACGCTTCCGTTCGCTCTGAAGATAGAAAGTCGAAAAGCGGAGCCAAGAAATTTGAAAGTGGAAGCTGTGGTTTTGAGGTGGGTCTGAATAGTGATTCGAGAAAAATTTCTTTTTTTTGGGCCCAGAAATGGCCTAACATGAACCTGGTTTGTTTTCTAGGTCATTTTAACGTGGTGGCCTAGAAAACTCAACTGGCGAAAGTTAGGCCACCATGTCAAAATGACCTGGAAAACACACCAGGCTCATGTTAGACCATTTATTTATAGGCCAAAAGAGATGGCCGCCTAGAAATTCCATTTCGCAAAAGTTAGGCCACCATTTCAAAATGCATTCGTTTCGAAAAATTTCTCAAAGCCGTGTCGAAAGGATACACTGCTACCGACCCAATTCACTATTTCAGAACTCTTCTCACACTACGTTCTCCTTATTTCTGCCAACTCTACTTTTGCGGTCGAGCCGAAAAATTCAACTTCATAATCATGACGCTGGTCGGAAAGAATTTGAACGAACTCCGTTTCAACTGCCCTAAACAACGATTCTCTCGCTCGTCGGGTCTTCAAATCGGCATTCAAATGATTAACGTCGTTCAACAACTTCATTCTGTTGGGCACGTTTTAGAATCATTTTCACTATTTCATATATTGTTTCAGATTCATCCATCGCGATATCAAACCCGCTAACTTTTGCATGAGCTTGGAGAATCCACGTCAATTGGTGATGGTTGATTTTGGAATGTGTCGAAAGTATGTGACGGATGGAGGTAGTGAGCTGAGACATCCGAGATGGTATGTGCACGGATTCAAAGGAACACTACGGTATGCTCCGTTGGCAGCTCATCATGGAAGAGAGTCTAGTAGGAAGGAAGATTTGGAATCGGTTCTTTATGTTTTGGTAGATTTCAGAGAATTTTGAAAATTCCATAAATCCAATTCCAGGTTGAGCTATTAGTTGGTACACTTCCTTGGATGACAATGGAGGATCAGATCCACGTGGAACATGCTAAGCAGATAGCCAGAACTATCGGTCTCCATGAATTCCTGTCTGGATGTCCAAAACAATTGGTTCATATGCTCTTCTACATTGACAATCTCCGTTTCTATGATACGCCGGACTATGCACTTCTTCGTGGACTTCTCAAGTGACTGACTTCCGATACAATTTTGATTTTTGATTTTTGATTTTCAGTAGTGCTCTTGAAAATGGACCACAAGATGCCAAGTACGAATGGGAGGAAGAGATGAAGATTGAGAGAAAGAAGTCAGAATATTTGAGATCGAAAGAAGAGGTGGAATTGGAGGATGGATGATGAAAACTGATTTTTGAACTTTTAGTGGAATTGAATAAAGACGGATTCTATGTCATTTTTTTGTATATTGAAGAGTATAAATTAATAGTGAACAATAAGGTTTTTGTTTCGATCGAATTTCATACACCCCGCCTGCAAGAGTGTGGCGTTGGTTTCTCGCCCACCCGTCGCCCACCAGTAGCCCGCTCTTAGCCCGTCCCTAGCCCGCTGGTAGCCCGCTGATAGCCCGCTCGTATTCCGCTCGTCATCCGTTCGTCACCCGTCCGTCACTCGACCGTAGCCCGACTGTGTCCCACCCGTAGCCCACCCGTCGCCCGCCCGCAGCCCGAACGTCACCAGTCCGTGGACCTGCCCGTTTATTTATGCGCGTCAAAAATTGAGTTTCATCCCTCGTGAAGGGCCCGGCGAAAAGGGCGAGTGGCGGGCAGTCCCTGTCGGATGATTTTGGACGGCCCGCCCGAGATTTAAAAATTACAAAACAATGTATTATGAATGTTATTTATTTCAAACTACACATTTGATCTCATTCGAGATGTATACTACACGTTATGAGAAGTGATTCTTATCCGGATGTGCAATATCCACAAGTTCTTGGGCACTGTTGTCTCATAAGAGTAACATAGGCAGCAACGTTACAGTAGCTAGCCATTCTTGGACAATCACTGACTCCAGTAGATGCGTTTGTTAGATCAACACATGTCGTAGTGGTGCGAGTAGTTGTGACTGATGCTCCGGAGCCTTAAATGGAAAGATAGAATCACCAGAAAAAAAAACACTTACAGTAACCGCAGGTTCTTGGGCACTGCTGTCTCATCAGAGTAACGTAGGCAGCAACGTTACAGTAACTAGCCATTCTTGTGCAATCACTGACCCCAGTTGATGGGTTTGTCAAGTCGACGCAAGTGGTGCTGGATCTGGTTGTGGTAGCAGTTCCGGTACCTGAATTTTTGGCTGATTTTCCAATATTTCATTGCAATTACAGTATCCGCATGTTCGTGGACATTGTTGTCTCATCAAGGAGAGGTAGACTGAGTTGAAACAATAACCAGACATTCTAGCGCAATCACTAGTTCCAGTCGATGGATTCGTCAAGTCGACACAGGTGGTTGAGGTGACGGAGGTTCTGGTGGTAGTAATAGCGGCAGCAGCAGTAGACGTTGAGGTGATGGCTGAAAGTTTTTTTTTAAACTACAGTACCAGCCAATAAGATAAACAAAATGTCTTTTTAAGGTCAGTTTGGCCATTTTCAAGTCTTGGGGTCGGCTGTCAAGTTTCAAATCCCTTTAAAAATTTTGGAGGATGTAAAACAGACCTAGATTGAAAACTTTGCATTCACAGAATTTTGAGTCATTGCTCAGCCTTAAATTGGATGGTTTTCACTTGAAAATTTTTTGGATTACTGTAGATTATTCGCAATTCGAATTCTAAAGTAATCGAGAGTTAGGGTAACTTTAAAATCTCGATTTCTAAGGATTACTGTAGTTTTGAGGAGTCCTGATGTTTTTGGTTTCCTGTAGTGTTTGAAACTTTAAAATTTCAAATTACAGTAGAATTAGTTTACTGTAGATGGATTTGAGGAAAGTGATAAAAAGGTTTACTGTAGATTACTGTAGCTGAGGATACGGTTCGTTTTCAAATTGCAAGGGTAGATTACTGTAATTTCTGAGAGAATCGAAAAGTTACTGTAGTTTTGAAAGTTTTTTTAAATTTCAGAGGTAATGTAGGTCTCGATTACTGTAGAATTTGAGAAAAGTTCGAAATTTGGTTTCCGATCACTTTGAAAATTTTGGAAGGTGTAAACATATCTTTTTTATTTCTTATCTTTTTTATTCTTTCGTCGTCATTATCTAATAGCTCAAAAAACGAATCATTCGCAGTTATATGATTTTCAGGCTCTACCAGTCGGCAGTTACCCTAAAAATTAGTGAAAATACAGTATCGGTCAATTAAATATACACAAATGTGGTTCTCAGTTGATTTGTGACCATTTTGACCATTTTCAGGAGTCTGGAAAACTTTACACGGTGTAAAACAGGCCCAAATTGAAAACTGTTCATTCACAGAATTTTTTGAAAATTCCTAGTTTTTCAACTATTTGTCGATTTCTAAATGACACCTGTTTTTCAAGTTTCCAGGCTTACTGCGAGCATTCTGGAGCCATTCAGAAGCTAAGGACCCTTAGAGAGCTTTTCGGAAGCATCAAAAACTGACTGAGAGTTTTCGGGAACTTTGTGAAAGCCCAAGACCCGTAGAAAAGCCTTCTCGAACTACCTGACAGGTCCAGAAAGTCCACAACTGACTAAACCCCTTGTCAGGCGCTTCTGGAACATCTAGAGACATTCAAAGCTTTCAGAATGCTCTAAAACCCCTTGCAACCGTCTAGAAACTTCTACGACACAAAAAATGGCCACAGGTGAAATCAGCAAATAGCTGAAAAACTATGAATTTTCAAAAAATTCTGTGAATGTGAAGGTTTTCAATCTAGGTCTGGAAACCTGACAGCCAAGTTCTAGACTTCTGAAAACGCTGAAAATCAAATTGTATCTTACTAAAAAGGTCTCCATCTGGACAACATCCTTGTCCAGTGATAAGAGTGGTTCCTGGAGGACACGACCCGTTGAGATCTGGCAATGGAGCAGAGTTACATCCCAAATTCTGTTGAATGGATACTCCGATGGTAGCAGCAATAACCAAAAGTTGGAACATTCTGAAAATTAGTGAATCAAAAGTCAAAAATGGAAAAAAGACTGCTGCTAACTATTCTACAGTAGCTTGCAAATGTACACAACTGTGAACGAGTGGCCTTTTAAACCATATCCGTGCAAACATCACACTTTGCCAGCTTATTCACTGTTTGAGCAGCGAATGATAGTTTCGAAACAAGATTGAGCATCTGTATCAACATATAGCCACAGTTTTAGTGGGAGTTAGAGCGGGATTTTTGAGCAAAGGTTGGATGGAGATGGAATGTGGAAAACAGAAAAAAAGTACATTACAAGAATGATGTTTATTGACTATTTTCGAACTACAAATTGCAACATCCAGAACAATTCAGGTGCAATATCCACATGTTTTTGGGCATTGAGTTTTCATCAAGGACAAATAGGCAGAGTTAGTACAGTAGGCAACCATACTTGCACAATTGCTTACTCCGGTTGAGGAGTTGACCAAATCAGCACAGGTTGAAGAGGAGGATGAGGATGAGCTGGATGTGGATGTACCTGGAATCAGAATTTTCAGAATTTCAGGCAGTGAATCTGGAGCTCTTACAGTATCCGCAGGTTTTTGGGCAATGTTGTTTCATAAGCGTCAAATAGGCAGAGTTGGTACAGTAGGAAGCCCTTCCTGGACAGTCACTGACTCCGGTTGAGGCGTTTACGAGGTCGGCACAGGTGGATGAAGAAGATGAAGAAGCCGTGGTGGTAGCAGATGATGAAGTGCCTGAGAAAATGTTATTTTTGGCAGACTGGCCTAGCCGACATACAGTACCGGTCAATAAGAACCTATTTCCAGTTGGCTTTTGCCCTTTTCGCGGAGCCTGAAGCCCGGCTATCAAGTTTCCGATCACTTTGAAAATTTTGGAAGGTGTAGAACAGACAAAAACTACTAAAAATCATTGAAATTTGACCAATCGGTGATATTGATCGATTATTCATTTTGTACTCCTCGTGGACAAGTAGACGCGCGAAATTTGAATTTTTGGGTTACGAAGCAGCTTGAAACTTGATTTTTTGGTGTAATATTGCATTTCTTTTCTAAAAACATGAAAAACAGGTACCTTCTATAAATTCAAAGTTTTCAATCAAGGCCTGTCGTAAACCATCTAAAACTTTCAAAGTGATTGGAAGCTTGAGAGCCGAGCTCCAGACTCCTGAAAATGGTGAAAATGGACAAAAATCGTATTGACCGGTACTGTATCTGACTTCTGTAAAATTCAAACTTACAGTATCCACAAGTCTTTGGGCACTGTTGTTTCATCAAAGTCAAATAAGCAGAGTTAGTACAATAGGAAACCATACCAGGACAATCGCTGACTCCAGTTGAAGGATTCGTCAAATCTACGCAACTAGACGACGAAGATGCTGTCGTGGTAGCAGACGAAGAAGTACCTGAAATTTCGAGGGATAACAACGGGTATATCTTTAAAAATGAGTATCGAAAACAGAAAAATTGGTTGAAATATGATTTTGGGTTTGATTTTGAAGCTAATGAAATTTTCAAAGCGATTCCTCTAGATAATTCAGCTCAAGGTTGATCGAATGAGCCGGTGGGCAGCACGAAATTCGGTCAGTTTATTGATGCATTTTTTGTATTTTCGCACTCCAAATTTGAGCCCAGTACATCGATTCACTCAAATTTTATGCTAGTACAAACTTGAGTAATTGCTTTAAATTTACTTACAATATCCACAAGTTTTTGGACACTGCTGCTTCATCAAACTCAAGTAGATGGTGTTGGTGCAATACGAAGCCATTCCTGGACAATCGCTGACTCCAGTAGATGCGTTTGTTAGATCTACACAAGTGGAAGCAGTTGTAGCTATAGCCGTAGTTGTTGTCGTGGCAGCAGCAGTTGTCGTGATAGCTTAATTTTAAATTCAAAGAGGGATAAACTCTTGTGTATTACCGTAGGTATCAGCCGGTGGACAACATCCGCTATCAGTGATATATGTGTATCCATCTGGACATGCTCCATTCAAGTCAGGTTGAGGAGTGGAAGTGCATCCATACGTTTGTTGGTAGGAAACATCAATGAAAGCGGTGAAACAGATGAGGGCTGTGAAAGAGAACATATTTCGGATTCTGCTAATCTGACTCAGAAAGTGTCTCTTTTAAGCGTAAATTCGACAAATAGAGAAACTTCTCATCCGGCGATTCTTTATTTGTGCAGAAGAGAAGCAAAGTTCCGCATCATTTCCTGAAAGAGAGCACAGATTGTCATTTTCATTAATCTAGATCATTAACTTCTGTTCGAAATACTTCAATTACCGTAATACCTGTAATAGAAGGGCACTCTAACTTGTGACTTTGAGCCAACTTATTTCGGTTCTTGTTGAAGAGATGAAATGCTGTCATGACATGTCAACTGATAAATTGTTTACAGCTAAAAACATTTTTTGTTAGAATATTATTTTCTGAAATGCGATTTTTTTCCGTCATTGGAAATATCGAAAATTAGAAATTAGTCGATTCTTCCAATTTTTAGAACTTCAAGAATTTTCAGATTTTTGGGCTTTTCCGATTTTTTTATTTTCTGAGAATTTTCGAAATATTACCATGGCACATCCGTTTTGGAGCAAACAGAAGCTGGCCGAAATGTGTCCAAAAGCCAAACCCCTCTCAACTTCTGACCAGAAATTACAAGTCAACAGCCGAGGGGATAAATTCATAAACTGGAGTTAACAGATACTTAAATTGCAAAAGCTCTGATTGCCGTAAAACCTCTAATAGAAGGGCCCACACACTGTCATCTTTGAACCAGTTTATATCAACTCCTATGCAAGATACCAACAAGTTGTCAACTAAAAAAATATTGGTGATGTTGACAACTTTCAGTTGACAACTTTATTATATCTTTGACAGGAACCGAGAAAAGTTCGCTCAAAGTCAAAGGTCAGAGGACCCTTCTATTACAGGCTTTACGGCAATTTCGAAATTTCGAAAAAAAGAAATTAAATCACTTCCGAGTCTAGCGGGAGGTTTTACGGCAACACAAATATCAAGATATATCAAGAGGGCATATATAGGGAAGATCAAGAAGGTTCATTTGGTATCGCTAGGAAGTTTTTTGAATAACACAAAAAAGAAATATTTGAAAAAAGTTTTATTCAAAATCCAATAGGATCAGAGGCAAAAAAATCAGGATCAAATGGAAGAAGTTTCCAGTATCCTTTCTTCGGATCGTCCGCCTTCTCATCCGACAGACTCATCTTCTCGGCTGATTCATTGCTGGCCTTTTCTCTACTCGTCTTCTCTTTGCTCGCATTCTCCCGACTTGCTTCTTTACTCGTCTTTCTTGCAGTTTTGACATCTTCCTTGCTGAGATTCTCTCTGCTCAACACTTCACGACTTCCTGCCTGTTTGACAGCTTCTTTGCTCTGGAGGGGAGATGCCGATGTCGATTTTGATGGTTTCGCGGGCCTGAATTTTTTGTAGTCCATAAGATTTTAAGTCAACTTGTCTTACAAAGTCTCCCAATCATACGGGTCATTCCAGAGGAAATTCCCTTTTTGCATCACAGAGATCAACAACATGAAGATTTTGTGATAGTCCGGACGATGGAAGTAGGTCAAGCTTCTCAAATGCTTGGCGATTTCCAAAAATTCCATCGGACTATTCTGCAGGACGACTTCATCCGAGTGCAGTCTCTTCATCTCGCCCACAATTCTTTTATCACTGAAAAAAAAGCAATTTGAGCTAGCAATATAAAAATGTTCTCACTTCTGAGAAGACCATGGAAGAGGGCCTCGGAGCTCCGCGAGCAAGTACATCATGCTCCACAGATCATCCACTCTTCCTTGTTCAGCACGATCATGCATTCGAATTGAACAGTAACGAGTGGTTCCTCGAAAAAGCGACTTTTCTCTGGGTCTTCTCATCATGAATTTGCTTGGTTGTTCTGAATGAGCAACGAGGAATTGGCGAGCGAGTCCGAAATCGAGCACATGAAAAAAGCGGCATTCGTTTGAGTTGGACTTGTGACCCAGTGCCATGTTGGCTGGTTTCAAATCTCGGTGGATGAATCCAATCTGAAAATAATTTTTAAAGTTCTTTGTTTTTTGTACTTTTCAGATTACATCATGAATCTGTTTTAGGCAGAAGAGAACATTTGCCGCAATGCGGACTTGTGAAGACACTGTGAGCTGACGTCCGACTCTTCTGAAATTTGGTCCACTTGAATTTGATCAACTTCTTCTTTTCAGATGGTGTTACTTTAGTTTATGCAGAAAATTGTTTAGACTCACATAAAAAAAAGATCTAAATTTTTCATTATGTATTAGGTTGGCGGGAAAGTCTTTGTCACTTTTTCAATAGTTTATTTCTCAAAGAAAAAATAACCGAATAATTAATTATATTGTCCATCATTATCAACAACATGTCTCCAACGTTCCCTCAATTTATGGATTCCATTGCGGTAGAATCCAGCCGGGCGTGAGGCAAAGTATTGTTTGAGTGCCGCTTCGACCGCTCCACGGGAATTGAAGCTTCTTCCTTCGAAGGCACGTGTCATATCGCCAAATAACCAATAGTCGGAAGGAGCAAGATCAGGAGAATACGGGGGGTGAGGGAGAACATTCCATCCATATCCCATCACTCCTGCTTCACTTGTTTCGAAACATGTGGGCGAGCGTTATCATGTTGATAGTACACTTTCTTGTCTTTCAGGGCCGAACGGTCGACTGCTTTCTTGAGGTTTCGTAGTTGAGTAGTGTAGAGGTCTCCAGTTATTGTTTTGCCCTCGGGCAGAAGTTCCCAGTAGATGGGGCCGTCCACTCCCCACCACACAGAGAGCATAACTTTTTTCGGATGAAGGTCGGGTTTGGAGACATCCTGTGGGCTCTCTCCTTCTCCAACCCACTGGGATTTCCTGTGGTGATTATCGTAGGAGACCCACTTCTCATCTCCGGTTATTAGCCGGTCCAGCCATCGATCGCCCGCGTGGAGAGTGAGAAGAGTAATCGAATCGTCGACTCGGCGGTCAAGGTTGGCTTGAGTCAGGTGATGAGGTATGAATCGACCAAAAAGTTTTCTCATTCCAAGAGACTTCAAACCTTCAAGGACTGTGCTATGGTGAACTCCGAATGTGACAGCTAGTTCACGGCTAGATTGAAATGGATCCGATTGCAATGCGTGCTTCAGCTTGTCCAAATCCAACTCACGGGGTCTCCCAGAGCGATCCTTTTCATCGAGCGAGAAGTCATCTTTTTCGAAACGATGGAACCAATTGCGAATAGTATTGTAGTGAGGGGCATGTGTGTTGTACACATTCTTCAAGAAAGTTTCCGAATCCTTCATCGTGGTGTGAGATAGGAAGAGGTAAATCAAAACATGTCTGATGTGAATAGCAGTGGGAACAAACATATCGTTTCAATTACAGATGAGGAGCAGGGAAGGAAATGGGGACTTGTTTATATGGAAGGTTCTTATCACCTTGTTATTCACTAGAGTCGATATCATACACAGCCTCCATATACGAGAACAGTGATTAAACAAACAGAGTGACAAAGACTTTCCCGCCAACCTAATACTTTATTTTTATGTGAATTAACATATCTTTCTGCACATTTTGATGCACCGTATACCCCCTTTAACCCACTTGACGATTTTATTCAAACTCTCGCCGAGAAGTGTCATTATAACATAGGTAAAATCAGTGAGCCTTGCAGCCAACAGAAATTGACACACATGTGGTTTTCCTGTTAATTTTTTGAGAATAGCAACTTCTAATTTGAGAACACATCCACCAGCTGCATTATTTGATTCTGCTTTCATTGCTGCTTCCGTTTCATCTTCCAGATTTTTAACTAGGTACACACTTCCACATCCTCCTTCTCCCAGCTTTCGGACCACTTGCCACGAGTATCCGACGATCTTTCCACGTGGGAGCTCCACCGTTCCGTTATCTGTGTGTTTTACTGGAAAAATAAGATGTTTCGATTCTAGAGGCCAGATGCCAAAGTTACCCTCGGTCATCAATTGTGTCTACAGCAAGAAGCTAACAGTAGCTGTGATAAGAATAAGCTGGATCTTCAAGAAAAGGGCGGCTCTACCCAGAGATCTTATCGATGATTTATGAATGAGGCTGAAACACGTTCCTTATTCTTGATGTATGGGCTTTTTTAATTTTCTAGGTCACAAATGGAAGTATTATCTACTTCTGTTAAGAAGATCTTCAGGTTCTGTGTGATTATAGAGGTCCGAGGTTAGAAGAACAGTTCGAAGGGAAAAAAGCGGTCCGAGGAGATTACAGAAAAAAAACCTATAATAGAAGGGCCATTACACTGTCATGTTTGAGCACAATTACCTCAATTCCTATGCAAGATATCGAAAATGTGTCAACTGATAAAATGTTTGCGGGATTATGATAAAAATTTTTTAGTTGGCAAGTTTTTTATCTTTCACAGAAGCCGGGATAAATTGGATCAAAGTTGAAAGTTGAGGCACCCTTTTATTACAGGTTTACAGTATAACGGTCTGGAATGAAAGTTGGTACTGAGTGTTTAGGAATCACCATAGATTCTAAAGATGCTAACGATTATTTTCATACCAAGAAGTCTAAATTCGGTTCAGAAAATCATTGAATTCACAGAAATTAATTGTTTCAGTACAGTATACTGATTTTGTTGCGGAGCCTCGTAAATCGACACGAACGCCGCCTCCGAAAATTTTCAGGTGTCAGTTTTTTCTTACGATCTACATAGTAATAAATTATTATTATTACTACTATTATTGAAATTAAAACAAGAGCAGTTTTAAGAGGATCTCGTCTGGTTTCTACAATAACAATATGTTCGATGATGCTCCGAAGTGATGCAATCAGCAGTTTTCCCGTACGAATTTGCTCTTTCTATCATACCCAAGACTCTGATCTTTCCTGTCGGAAGAACTTTCACGTTTGCCTAAAACGATTCTGATTTTTTTTTTCAGTTTTTCCGCACTGACTTTGAAATCCGCTTGACTAGGCTGTTCCATTTCAGCAACAACGCTGTAAATATCTGAGCCGTTCCTACTTTGATCGAATTTGAACAATGAGAGAACCTAAAAACATGAAAATAGTGTCAAAATCAAAATAAATGTTGACTCACTCGATCTGCTTTCATCTCTATACAATCTTCTGTGAAATTTCCCTCTTTTAACTGCTCATTCACAGAGTACGCGATATGCTCTCCTATGGACAATGCGACTTGATTTTCCCTTAAAAAACGATTTTTAGTCAACAAAAAGGGGAATTTTTTACGTTGACACTGCAGTTTTATTGAACTGACAAATGCAGTACTGTAAAGGAATTGGTGAGTTTCTACAATTCCTTATCATACTTGGTTGTTCTCTCAAATAAGAGTATCCTTTCTCTCCTGGAATTTCCAGAGGAATAGTGTCCGTAAAATTGCTGGCTGCTTGGAACTGTAATGAATAATTTAAATTCAATTTAAAAATTATCTTTGAAGTCGTTAAATAAACCTTAAGAATATCCAACAACGCTGATCTGGTGTCAAAATGTGTTTGCAACTTCTTTGCATTGTTTGTCATTTGATCTAATATTTTTGTATTTGTTCTCAAATCCTTAGGAATGGAAATCGCTAGAAATGGATTGTTGACATCAAGGGCACCAACAAAAGTTTTTCGAACGTCTCCGAATCGAAGTCCATGGTCTCCCATGAATAAAACAAACGAGTTGTCTAGCTGAATCATGCTTTGCGAACAACAATTAATTAAACTTTTTTCACTCACTTGTTTCCTATGTTTCACCATAAAATTGTAAAAATCGTTATCCGAATGAGCGATACCGTTCTCTGTGGAATGTCCAAGAACTGAAGCCCACACCAACTGAACTTTTTCTGGTCCGGATAAGCATCTAGAAATTGTCCCAAGTAATCCAACAATGTATGATGATGTTCTCTGCACATCTCTCCGTTTAAGTGCTGTTTTGTCACGTTCAAACTATGATTCTTCCGTTCCAATGCGTTTTGGAATGGTCTTGAAACAATTATTAGTTAGCAGAAATCCATTTTATCATTTATACCGCATGTAATGGTCAATTGGTGGCTTATCAAACCCTTTACAGTTCGGCCAGTTTAGTGTTCCTTCAGCCCAGTCCTCCGATAAAAATGTCTACAAAAAACATGTCGATTTTCATCAGAACGTATTGTTGTACCTTGTATCCATAATTCTGGAACTCATGGAATAGAGATGTCTCATTATCCTTAAAAACGTAGCACATGTAGTCGTGAGTCCAGTCAGCCATTATAGTTTCTTCCTCAAATAGAGAACGATCTAATTTCTCTAACAGTTTCCCTAGAAGATGTAATATGAATCACTTTTTTCAATTACCGTAACCACTCTAATAGAAGTCCACCTTACACTTGCAATTTGAGCTCAAGTATCTCAATTTCTATGAGAGATAACAATAATCTATCAACTGATAAAATGTTGTTCATAATATCATCAACATTAATGTAGTTGTCAGATTTTTGATAGCTCTTATAAAAATTGAGATAATTGAGCTCAAAGTGCGTGGGCTTCTATAGGTAGTTTGCCTTCACTTACCAAACCAAAGAGCAGCGCCGTTTGGTCTACTGTTATCACCCACTTTGTTGATGTAGGAAAAGAGCACAGCGTTCATGTGATTCACCATATACGTTATAGTGCGTGGGAGCGATCTGAATCAAGCTGTCGTGTTCTTCAACTAACTTTAAGAAATACCTTCTGGCTTGTGAATAAGCCAACGAGTCTAACAAAATAACTGTCACATCGTATTGTGTCAGATTTTCGGTTTCAACTTTCGGCTCTCTCGGTGGTCTGAAAAACGGGATTCTAAAAGAAAAAGAATTCAAGCATTATATCTTCATACGTCGGAATTATTTGAGTGTGAAGATATCCATATACATCTGTGTTATTCTCTGCACACACTGCTTCTAGAACTTCACAATCAACTGGACCGGGAACATAACTCCAGTTTCCTATTTTGTTTTCTCTTTCAGTTACTCGCCCATGACATCTAAACTACTAGATACTTTAGAACGTTTTGATAGGAGTCCCTCACCTTGTTCGACATTCCAACTCAACATTCTTGTCTTCTAAACCCCATGAGCCGTTGATAAGAGTGGTCAAAGGCTTAAGATCCGCATCACAGTTTGAAATGGGGTTCACATTGGGATCCACATACTTAAATACATTTGTAACTGGGGAATATGCATGGATATATTACCGGTAAAATTTCGTCATTATAAAAATCGTAAATTGGTAGATCACACTGCTCCCAATAATTCAATTTGGCACTATTTTCGGATGTTTGGCGAAAAGAAACTTCAAGTATTTGATGATACGATCCATAGTAATAATGAACAGTAGATACAAACATGAGCATAGTAAATCCCAGAATAACAAACAACGCAACGAAAAATCGTTTTCTGGTGATTAGGGTTTCCATTTGGGCGGGTGGAAAAATGAGCCACTCGCCACCCGCCGGGGGGCTACCACCCACGGCCCCCGCGCGGCCCCCCACGATTATTTACGTGTGAATTTTTATCTGATTTTTAACGACAATCACGTATTTTCCAAAAAAAAAAGAGTTTCCGAAATCAAAAAATAGCGAGAAAGATAAAATTTTCTTCACGTAAATAATTGCGGGGCCAACACAGGTAAAATGCGAATCAGACAAAAGTTTAAGTTCGCGAACGGATCCGTTTGTTTATCATTCGCAATCGGATCGGATACGGAGTTCGCAAACGGATAGAATACGGGGAAATACGAAATAATGTTCTGTGGTTTTCAGAAAACGGGTCGCGTGCGGACGTATACGGTTCCTATTTCAACTGCGCGCGAACGCTGAGCGTCCGTAACGGATTGTTCGCGAATCACCTGTGAACGGGGGGGCCGCGGGGGGTGAGCCCCCCGGGCAGATGCGGGCGGGTGAATCGCCCCCCAAATGGAAACCCTACTGGTGATACTCCTCCAGGGAACGTATTGGTTTGCTTTTGGGTTTTCAACCATGTTTCAAAAAAAAATCAAAAAAAAATTCAAAAAAAAATAGTAGCAATAGATGAGTTGTATTATTATAGGAAAAATTTCTATACAGTATTTTTCAGTTAATTTTCAGCTATTTGGATCATTTTCAGGAGTCCGGAGCTCGGCTGTCAAATTTCCGATCACTTTGAAAACTTGAGAGAGTGTAAAACAGACCTAGATTGACAATTTGTATTAGGTTGGCGGGAAAGTCTTTGTCACTTTTTCAATAGTTTATTTCTCAAAGAAAAAATAACCGAATAATTAATTATATTGTCCATCATTATCAACAACATGTCTCCAACGTTCCCTCAATTTATGGATTCCATTGCGGTAGAATCCAGCCGGGCGGAGGCAAAGTATTGTTTGAGTGCCGCTTCGACCGCTCCACGGGAATTGAAGCTTCTTCCTTCGAAGGCACGTGTCATATCGCCAAATAACCAATAGTCGGAAGGAGCAAGATCAGGAGAATACGGGGGGTGAGGGAGAACATTCCATCCATATCCCATCAGCTCCTGCTTCACTTGTTTCGAAACATGTGGGCGAGCGTTATCATGTTGATAGTACACTTTCTTGTCTTTCAGGGCCGAACGGTCGACTGCTTTCTTGAGGTTTCGTAGTTGAGTAGTGTAGAGGTCTCCAGTTATTGTTTTGCCCTCGGGCAGAAGTTCCCAGTAGATGGGGCCGTCCACTCCCCACCACACAGAGAGCATAACTTTTTTCGGATGAAGGTCGGGTTTGGAGACATCCTGTGGGCTCTCTCCTTCTCCAACCCACTGGGATTTCCTGTGGTGATTATCGTAGGAGACCCACTTCTCATCTCCGGTTATTAGCCGGTCCAGCCATCGATCGCCCGCGTGGAGAGTGAGAAGAGTAATCGAATCGTCGACTCGGCGGTCAAGGTTGGCTTGAGTCAGGTGATGAGGTATGAATCGACCAAAAAGTTTTCTCATTCCAAGAGACTTCAAACCTTCAAGGACTGTGCTATGGTGAACTCCGAATGTGACAGCTAGTTCACGGCTAGATTGAAATGGATCCGATTGCAATGCGTGCTTCAGCTTGTCCAAATCCAACTCACGGGGTCTCCCAGAGCGATCCTTTTCATCGAGCGAGAAGTCATCTTTTTCGAAACGATGGAACCAATTGCGAATAGTATTGTAGTGAGGGGCATGTGTGTTGTACACATTCTTCAAGAAAGTTTCCGAATCCTTCATCGTGGTGTGAGATAGGAAGAGGTAAATCAAAACATGTCTGATGTGAATAGCAGTGGGAACAAACATATCGTTTCAATTACAGATGAGGAGCAGGGAAGGAGATGGGGACTTGTTTATATGGAAGGTTCTTATCACCTTGTTATTCACTAGAGTCGATATCATACACAGCCTCCATATACGAGAACAGTGATTAAACAAACAGAGTGACAAAGACTTTCCCGCCAACCTAATATTCACAAAATTTTTTGGAAAACTCCAGTTTTTCAGCTATTCACCAATTTCTGGAAGTCATTTTTCTTTCACTTTTCAATACAAAAAACGGGGAAAAGAGGTGTTTTCCAGGAATAGGTAAATAGCTGAGAAACTAGGGATTTTTCAAAAAATTCTGTGAACACAAAGTTTTCTATGTAGGTCTGTTTTACGGACTCCAAACTTTCAAAGTGATTTGAAACTTGACACTTGAGCTGCAGACTCCTGAAAATGGTCTGAATCGCCGAAAATTAACTGAGAGATACGAAAAAAATACAAGTTAAAATCTATTTATTGACATAAAAATCGAATAATTACAATAAAAACTTACTGAAAAGCGAGAACTTAGGAAACCCGTATTTACTCTGATAGATGCCCAGGGATTTATATTTTTCAACCTCTTTCTCAGGGCGGGCTTCTATTAGACGGTGGGCGGGCTTCTATTTTTCAATGATCTATTTTCAAAAAATTGTTATTCAAATATTCAGAAATTTGACATTTCGGAAGATAGGACTTTCGAAATTCAGTGTTGGAGAATTCGAAATTTTTATTCTGCCATTCTGAATCCCAAAATTCCGAATTTATGAAATTCTGAGATTCTATGATCTTAAAATTTAAAATTCGGGGATTCTGAAATTCCGGAAAAATATTTTAAAAATCTGAAATTCAGAAATTGTCGGGTTCTAAAATCACAGTTCCAAAAATACTGGAATTTTGAATTGCTGTATTTTCTCTAATAGAAGCTCATATGCGTCTATTAAAGGTGGGCTTCAAATAAAGGTGGGCTTCTATTAGAGGAAATACGGTATTCACCAATCCTCAAGTTTCTCCCACTTATCAGCTCCAAAAATTCTTGGTTTTCACTTTCGTCGTTCGCTTTGTCGGAATCTTCTAGAATTTATCTTGGACACCCAGGCGGATCATTTCTTACAATTATTATCCCGATCCTCGCTCTAAAGTTGTAGGTCACAACCGAGACCAAATCTGAATTCGTTTACGTGATTTTCCAAAAAAAAAGTTGGAATTATAATTAGGACAGAAGCTCACTGATCCATGAGAATCCAAAAATGGAAACAGTTGAGTAATCATAAAGTTTTATCAGTTCATATATGCTTTGCGATACAAGAAAATTAAATAAATATGAACCCCAATTAAAACTCCATTTAACCAGAAGTACAGAAATTACAAGTTCTTGGGCACTGAACTCTCATCAATGGGATGTAGATGGAGTTGTTGCAATAAGCACGAAGTCTAGTGCAATCGCTGGTTCCAGTTGATGGATTAGTACGGTCGACACACGTGGCAGAAGAAGAAGAAGAAGTGGTGGAAGTGACAGATGTACCGGTGGTAGAGGATGATGTACCTGGAAAAATTATGTTTTTGGAATTTTAGGAACATTTGGATTCCGTTATAGTTTTCAACATTCCGAAAGTGTCATTCCGAATATTCTTAGGCGCTACAAACTTCTGGCTGGTGCGCCTATGGCGCGATTTGATCTAGTTTTTTATTTCATAAGGAAACTACTTACAGTATCCACAAGTCTTTGGACATTGAGTTCTCATAAGAGTCAAGTAGATGGAGTTGGTACATAGATTGGCTCTATTCGGGCAGTCACTAGTTCCTGTTGCCGGGTTTGTCAAATCGACACAAGCCCAGGAAACAGAGCAAAGGACAGTAAGAACCGCAATGGTAATTGGTTGCATGGATGATTCACACAATTGGAGTGAAATGAAACAAATCCCTTTTATAGTGACTCCTCCAATAGACACAAATATTTGAACAGTGCTCTCTTTTTTGTTCTTTTTTGTCTCCAAACTTCCAGTACACTTTGTTTAATTCATTTATTTCATTGTTTAAATATAAATTAATGATTCAAAAAATAGAAGATTACAAACGACCAAAAAAACAAAGCAAAAATTACATCCTGAAGTCACTGGCTGATATTGAAATCACCGAACTTTTCTTCTGGAGATTTCTAGAAGCAATGCATGCTGGTTGGATGTCATTGTTGCATAGAAGCATGATAAGTCTGAAGGAAAAATGGGCTTTGATGGTATTTGAAGAGGTACAGTACCCATCAAAAAGTGCAAAGTATGCCATTGATGGTAGTGCCACGAGAATGTCTCCAGAAGATCCAGAATTCAGAGATGAGATGAGGGAGACGTCGATGATGAAGAGAATAGATTGAAGCATGCACTGAAATTAGGAAGTTTGGTTATTCTAATCCAAACCAGCATTTTGCTGCGGCAGCCAAAAAGGCTGGAGTTTTCTAGGCCATTTGTTGTCAGGAAGTCAGCTGCACTTACAGTATGCCTACAGTAATCCACTCAAAAGAGAGGCGGTGAAAATTTGTGCATAACTGAAGTTTTGCGATTATAGAGAGGAAGTGTTTCTTCTTGCTATCTTGCTGCAGTCGCGCTAGCTAAAAAAGCTGGAGTTTTCTGGGTTATTTACTAGTCCACGACCACCCAAGCAAAACACATACAGGAAATTTCATATGCTTTTAATGTTGGTGTGATTACGTCTCTTCGAAAGTGCGACACTTCGAAACCGGTCATTTCGAAACCGCGGTAATACAAGCGAATGGATAAATGTCAGACTACAAAAACAATTTTAGTACTTTTCAAATATGCGTATTTTGATAGAACAACTTTTGAAACCCAAATAAAATCCCAAATAATTTTTTTTTCAATTTTTTCCCCAATTTTTCAAATATTTTCAAGCAGAAAAAATATATTTGAAAACCCTAAAATCATTTTTGTAGTCTGAAATCTATACATTCGCCTGTTTTACCACGGTAGAAACTTCAAAATTTTTTGATTTTCCAGATTCTCAAGTTTTCAGCTTTAAAGTGAGCTTAAAGGTTTGCTAGATTTTGAAGATTTGCTGCTTTTTAATTGCTAGTTTTCGTTGTGAGACCCAAATTTAAAAAAAAACAATTTTTTAACCTAGGTATGGTTATACTCATTTTGAAGTTCTTTTTACGACGAATTCAAAACAATCAGTCTTGTTAAATTTGGTACAGTATCCATCGAGGTACGGTAGTTTCATATTTGAAAATCTAGAAAACTCCAGCATTTTTTACTGCCACGTTTTCAGCCGCATAACTTCAGGTGTTTCCAGGTTTTCAGAGCCCTGGATTACTGTAAGTGCAGCTTAACTTCCTGACACGTCATTCCCGTTGCCCTTCCTATTCCCTTTTTCCCCCTAAATTTACTCACCTGAATAAACATTCGAGCGTTTCTCTGTTTCCTGCGAGGTGCATTACGACACGAGAAACTTATGGTCTTCTGAAAATGATTCATTGTTTTAAACCTATCTGTTCAAATATGCAAACTCACAGCTCCTCCACAACATATAATGAGAAAACTGATGACATTCAACATATTGGAAATCATCATTAAAACAAAAGCACAATACAATTGAAGTTGATAATTCGAGACATGACAATCATCCGTGTAATGGAAGGTAAGAGTTTCAGATGAGAAATAGCATGTGCATTCTATAAAAATGAGGTTTAAAATACGGTAAGACCTGTAATAAAATAGCTCTTAAGTTTGGGCCAATTTATCTCGGTTTCTATGCAAGATATAAAAAATGTGTCAACTGATAAAATTTTTGTGATATTATGATAAACAATTTATTAATTGATGACATTTTCATATCTTTAACAGGAACCGAGATAAATTGGCTTAAAGTTAAAGGCCCTCTATGTATTATAGGTTTTACGATTTTGCCGTGGATTGGGGTTGTGGGTTGCTGAATGGGTCGAAAATCCTTGGATTTAAAGATTTTTGAAAAATTCAAAAAGTACTAAATAGTTCTTGAGAAGCGCTACAAAACCATATAAATCACAATCTCAATTCATTTTTACTAACTTTTGAAAAAGTTATTTGAAAATGGGTCTAAACCTGCTTCAGGTAATTATCGCTAAAAACTTGAAAGTCGGTTTGATTTCAAGGTTTTTTAAAAATTCAAAAAGTACTAAGTAGTTCTAAAAAAGCACTACAGCATTATATAAACTACAATTTAGATTCAATCTGAAAAGTTTTGAAAAAAAATCTCAAAGTTGACAGTGTTTCGGCCCTTCTATTACAGGTTTTAGCATAATTATGACTCACCTGGATATCCTAGAAGTGTCCAAATAATAGCTGCAAACCAGGAAGTGAACACTCCCAAAGCAATCAAATCCGAATTTTTTCTCTTCACATTTCCGACAAAACAGATTGCAGCAAAACGGTTTAACGATAAGAAACATTGAGTTAGGTTTCCTGAAAGTGGGATATAAAAAGATTACGGTAGGGTTACCGTACCATGAATGTAAAGTCCAAATAGCAAGAGCTGACTCAGGATGATGTTCACATAGGTGGATACCAGATTTGCTTTCCTGAAAGTATTTTTTTCATTATGAGGTCTAATTTTGAAAATGCTCTTACAAGAAAACTGCTGGAACCATCCAAAAGAAAACCAATGAACAAACTAGAATATTCGAGAACGATTTGGAAATTGAGAAAATGAAAAATCCTCCTCTGAATCTGATTCCAAATAGGAACCCGGAACCAATGTAGGCATTGATGATACCTCCAGCTAGACTTATCTGAAAGATTTTTTTTCAATATTCAAAGTTACTGTAAAACCTAAGGGAAGGCCACCCTAGCTTTGAGCCTATTTATCTCTCTTTCTGAAAAGGTAGCAAAAAAGTTTCAACTAATAAATTGTTTATCAAAATATCACAAACATTTTATCAGTTAACACATTTTTGATTTCTATTATACGTTTCGAGATAATTGAGCTCCAACATGACCCAGGTTGCTTTCTAACTTTGAGCTGATTTATCTCGCTTCCTGTGAAAGGTATAAACAATTTTTAATTGATAAATTGTTTATAATACTTTAACAAACATTTTATCAATTGACACATTTTTGATATCTCTTACAGTAACCGAGATAATTGAGCTCAAAGTTAACAGCGTGGAAGCCCTTCTATTACAGGGGTTTTCCATACCAAGAGAAGTAGAATAGCCGCCCATGTCCTCTCTTCCGGCTGAATTTCAATAGTTGAGTTGAATTGGAAATACATATTCAATCTTCTGAAAACCAAAAAAAAAGTTATATCAGAATAACTGATATTTGACAGAGCAGAAAAAGAAGGCGTGGCCACTAATATTCTGCTGAAAAGTCATTGTTCTGGAAAAATTTAATATTGAAAATTGTTTACCACCGGATCACTGCACATGCATTAGGAGATCAGAAGTGGGTGGAGAGAGATCAGTTTCAGAATTGAAATTCAAAAGACCGCTAATTGATGCGCGCCTGCAATTCTTCGGCCACGCGGTTGTGTACTCCTCGAGGACAACAGCGATTTTTCGTGAAATTTTCCGAAGGTCTTTGCTTCGAAATCGCTGAAAATATGCAGCCAGAATCAATTCTTGACATTCGCACAGACAATGAAACCATATTAGTGAGTTTTTAATTCCTTGAATTTTAAAGAAATGCTAAATGTCTCAGGCTGCCCGGTCCCGTCCCGTTACTCGTGAAAATCAAATCTATCTCGCCATTGTACTCGTTGGATCAGAAAACGCAGCAGAAATAGAAGAAGGTGTAGCTATTCTAGAAGGTTTGAGTTCTACCCTTTTATCAGAAAACGCTTCAAAATCTGTTATTTCAGAAATCGCCAAAGATACTGATCACAGTGAGGACGTTAGAATAGCCGTATACTACTTGGCGCTCGCGCATGCTCGTCTTCAGGTGACAATTCTGCTGAAACTTCGATAAGTTTTCAATTAAACTTTTTTTCAGAACTACGACAGATCCACAAAAATCCTCGACGCTTTGCTCAGTGTCGAGCCAGCGAATCTGCAAGCTAGTGAACTTCGAAAAGTGGTGCAAAAGAAAATGAAAAAAGAGGCGCTTCTCGGATTAGGACTCGTTGGGGGAGCGGCAGCACTGATCGGAGGAATCGTCATCGCCGGATTCGCTTTCAAAAAATGAATTCTCCGAATCTTTAGCCAAACATCACCTTTTTCCCTGTCTGTATATAATTGGAAGTCAATAAATATGTGTAAATCAGATTTCATAATTTATTTCAATCATCTTGTTTTTCCCGCCGTTCTGCCATTTCCGTGTTGAGTCACGGATCAGAATTTGAGTTTATTAGATTTTCTATTGTTATGCACATATTTCGCTGAAATAACTACGTCAATTCGACTGGAGATCCGGGATTTCTGTTCTCCGGAATTTCACAGCGTCCACACTACAGTATGCAGTTGCACACTATTGAGAAAGTGGAGGGGCAAAGTTTCAGGTTAAAAAACCTAAAACTTCGCCACGTCACTTTCTCATTAGAGCGCAATTGAATGCCACAGAAGTTCGAAAACTCTGCAGGAATGTTCTGAATGGACTTGTTGACATTTTATAGAATTTCGCAATATTCCGATTTTGACATATTCGGAATTTCTAAAAATTCTAATTTTAAATTTTTTTTCCAAAACATCCAGAAATTCATAAATTCCAGAAAACTAAAAATCTGATATGTGGAAAAAATGCGAAATTTCAAAAAATCCTAAAAATTAGAAATTTCGGAAGTTCGAAAATTTGAAAATCCAGAAATTCTGAATATTAAAAATTGCAAACTTCGAAAAGGCTAAAAATACCGAAATTTCGAAAATTAGAAATTCCGAGAAATCCAAAAAATTGAGACTCAATAATTCAAAAACTCACAATTCAAAAACTCAGGAATTCAATTAAAAGTTTCAAAAATTCAAATTACAGTAAAATCTAAAAAATCCGAAAATCTGAAATTCTGAAAAAGCCAAAAAATCAGAAATTTCCAAAATTTCCGAGTTCCTGAAAATTCCATAAAGTTTACAAACTTTCCAATTTCAGTAACACCAAAAATTCTCAAAATTCGATCCTTGAAAGGTCCAAGCTTCCAGGATACTTATTATTTTGAAATTTCAAATATTCAAAAAAAGTTTTAAACCCTAAAACACCGGCCGGAATTTCATACAGAATTTTTTTCTCAGAATTTTCAGAATTCCGAATTCCGTTCCGAACATCTTTGACCCTCTGAAATCTTCCGATACACTGTAGTCGGTGAAAGAAAATATGAATATTTTCCAAATAATTTCAATATTATGCATACGGAAATGATACCACGGATTTCTTTCCTTCAGCACCAGAATAACAGTGGCTTTCTTTCCTGCTCGAAAATCAACAAATACAGTTTTTCTGCGTCTCTTCATCTCGTACACTGTCTCACTCGTCTTCAGCTGTCAGCCTGTCATATCAGCTCGCGCGGCCTTGTTTGGTTCCGTTTCTTCTGACCAGCCCAGACAATATCATTAGTCTTCTTCCCATTTCACAGTTTCACTTTTCATTCCATTGTGAAATTTTATTCAGTAGAAAAGGATGGATAGAAGAAGAGACACCAGGTACAAACAACAAGAGCCAGCTCATCATTATGATGATCGCTACAATGCCACCTATGATAACTACGACTACGAAGAGGATTACGGTAATCAGTACGCGAATACGGGTTAGTTGTTTAGCATTATTTATGGTTGTGTTATTTCTGCTTGTAAGAGTGTTAAGCATCAAAATCTCGTCAGAAAAAACCAAAAAAATCAACAAATTTTGGATTACTTAACTTTTTGTTCTAGTCAGGCTATACTAAACAAGACTTAAGCTTCAATTTTGTAGTTAACCACTTTTTCTAACTACCATAGTTTTTGAATTACCAGCCTGTTTGCCGCGCCTCCGGCGCTTCAAACAGCTGGCTGGCACCGAATCGCAACGTGTTCGGTTTTGAGGAAACGCGATCCGCTCCAAATTGACGGAAATTTAAATTTTAAATTTTTTTAAAAGCCAAGTTAGCTGCGCAGCGCGTGCTATTTGAAAAAAGTTGATACGCACGCTATTTTAAACAAGCTGGTCCGAAAACGCGCCCCAGTGAACATGAAAAATCACTGCGCAACGTGTCAAAGTTTCGTTGGCTGAGGATTAAACTTTTAAACGTTGAGCCAAAAAATCACGCATTGCAACTCGTTGAGAAGCAACTTCATTTATCTTCTTTATATAAAAAACGCTAGAGGCGTCTGTTGGTCCCCCTGTCAATCTGTGGGCTTTTGAAAAGCTTAAAAAGTCAAAATAGCCTTACGTGACCCTTTAAGAAAGTTTGAGAAGCGGAGCGACGAAACAGTATATACCAGATCAAATCGCGCCGGAGGCGCACCAGCTAGCTGGTTTGGAATATAAAATTAAATTTGCTGAAAATAATTTTAAAATTTTGGTACTGATTAGCCAGACTCTCGTCTGTTGATCCCTTTCGCCGCGTGGCTCAGTATATAGAAAGGGAAAAAGGTTTATTTACCAATGGGATCACCTTCTAAAACCCATTGTTCTCAGAATGATCCTCAGTATTCAAAGGTGAAGTCCTGTTCTAGTGCTAAGCTCTTCCAGTATGAACCGAAGTCCAACTGACCGATCAGACCATCTAGCCCATTATCCAACTGGATACCTCCCAAACTTCGAACAATTAAACTGAGTTTTTCTGAGCCCCTTTGGAGAAAAAGGGGGCGGGACTTATTTTTACCTGGACCTGGTTAATCGTTTCCCGTGGGAAACTCCGCCCTCTTTTTACACTTTTATAGTTGTTTGCGACATCAGTTAAGTAATTAGGAGGCAATAATCCGAAATTGTGGGGGATATTTTGACCTGAATGTAGCAAGGTGAAGAAGAAAATACCATGGATCCATCAAAAAGTGAGAGGTCGTTTACCTGGGAGAACAATGAACCATAAATTTGAAAAATGCAATTTTAAAATGTCGGATGCTGGATAGTTGGTTCTTAATGACAAAGTTTATTTAATCATGTCCTCGGGAAGCTTGCATTTTTCATCCATTGACATCATTGATTGTTTATAATAAGAATGAGGCGCCTTTAAAGTTGATGGACCTCAGCAGGGGCGCCTTTTACAACTTTAAAGGCATAACTCAAAAACTACGGTAGCTATGAAAAAGTTGTCAATTACAAAATTGAAGCTATCTTCTTGTTTAGTATAATGATGAATGTTCAGACAAAAAGTTGAGAACTTTTAGACTGTTTTTGTAAGATCTTCTGGGTGTCGCATAGTTACCCAGACAAAAGTTTATACTAGCTTAGCATTTGAGTATAGTGTTGTACTGGTCTTAAATTTAGGATGCAAAAATTTCAATAATTCATCAATAAACTGGCCAGGTTTTAAGTTATTTGATCCTCTTTGAGCTGAGTTATCGCTTTTCAAAGTTGCTTTGTCTCTTGAAATCTTTGGACAATCATAACAACAGCTAGACTTGAGAAATCGCTTTGAATTTTTTTTGTAGCTCTGAGTCAAATGAAAAATTATATTTATACGAATTTGCGTGCTTCCAAGATACTCATGGCTAAAGATATACCTATTCAAGTTCCTCACCATCACCACGCTCACGCTCACGCTCATGCACATCATCCAGAAGAACATGGTTATGACGATGAAGAAGATCATTGGGCCAACCAACAGGATTTCTACGATACCGTTCCAGCTAACAATCTTCCACCCGTTAAACCAATGGGTCCTCCAAAGAATCTGGCCCGTGTTCAAATTTCCACGTCGATTCCAGAGCCAGATAATGCTTTTATTCCACAAGCTCCGCCTCCACCAAGATTCGGGCCAACTGGAGGCTACAATAACAATAACAACAACGGTGAGTGGGTAATTTTAATGAAATTAAACACTCTTATAGTACCCTATACATTCCCTTTGATCTCATTTATCTCGGTTGTCATGAAAGATATCAACATTTTGTCAACTGAGTAAATGTTGATGATATTATGAAGAACATTTTGAGAGTTGACTACTTTTTGATATCTCTTATAGAACCTGAGATAATAAAGTTATGTCTCCTTACCATGAAGTTCCAAAATCTGAAGTTTCTGGTTTTGCAGTACCCTATTCATTTGAATTTAAAGAATCTGAGAATTTGTGATTTCGTTTTTATGTGAGAAAAATATTTTCATTTTTCTAGTATTTCCAATCTTCGAAATTTCAAAAGTCAGAGAATACCAATTTTCCAGAATCTTCAATTCTGAGAGCCTGTGATTTTCAAAACATTAAAATCTCCAAGGCTCAGATTCAAAGCGTGTCAAGTTTTTCGAATTCCGAGACTTAGATTTTTGGAATTGAGATTCCCAAAATCTCATTTTGATAAGTTGATGATAAGAAATCAAAAACTCACTTTTCAGGATTTTCTCAATATGCGCCTATCGTATACGCCACCCAAACCGTCAATTTTGAGCCTATATATCTTGGTTTCTGTAACAGATATCAAAAATGTGTCAACTGATAAAATGTTGGTGGTATTATGAACAGCATTTTATCAATTGGCAATTTTTCCATATCTCTTATAGAAATTGAGATAATTGAGCTCGAAATTTAAGGATATGATGACTTTTCATTAGAGTGTTTACGGTGCTGTAATCGTTAAATTCTTCAGATAGAAAAACTCCGGTATCAAAATACGGTAACATGGCTACAACCGATTTGAAGCAAAGAAGAGAAACTGCCGATGTTCATATTCGATTCGACCCAGCTGCGAAACGAGAATTCCCTCCAAAGCAGACATCGTTCATTGATGGATTCAGAAATGGTGATTCAAGAGATTCAACTGTCCCATCTGCAAAGAAAAAGGATACTGTAGCTGGTGGTCAAACTACAAATACGATTAGGTCCATCATCAATAATTTGAAGAGCGGAGGAAATGAAAAACGTAGGTTTTACAAATTATAGCAAACACTGTAATAGAGTGTCACCCAGACTGTCCACTTTGAGTCCATATATCTCATTTTTTTAATGAAATTCATCAAAAAGTGATAAACTGATAAGTGCTTATCATAATATTAAAAAAATTTATCAGTTGACACTTTTTTGGTATCTTTTAAAAGAAATGAGATACATGAGCTCAAAGGGGACAGCCTGAACGGCGCTCTATTAAGGTGTTTACGATAGATGAAACTCGGAATACTGTACTTTTCAGAAGAAGACACAATTCCGCGTAACAGAGTCTCTACAAACCCATTCATGAGAGCCCAGCAACAGCAACAACAACAGCAAAATCATCCTCAAAACCGTTTGGAACCAAAGAATCCTTCGAAAAATGTGGCAGAAGTCGTTGAGAAAATGAATAATGGGGATTGGCCAATTCAAATTGATGATGAGGATCCTTCTCCAAATTCTGATCCAAAACGGGCCTATCAACAACACCCTGACAAAGCCAGGCAATGGGAAACGCTTCATCGGAAGAAGGACGAGAAGAAGAGTATTCTAGAAGACGTTCCACATTTGACAAATGCTCCACCCTCTGCTCCTCCACTACCAACTCAACAGCCACCATCCCAAAAGCAACAGTATCCTCCAAAAGAGGAAAATGACAAAATGTCTGATAAAAGTCACGAGGAGACTAGTGTCTCCACTGATTCTGCATTGTATTCTGAAAGTTCGGATACACGTGGACCATCCCCATACAAACTTCCATTTGATACCCAGAAACCCGGAGAACTCGGAGAGGAGGCTGAAAAACTATTATTCTACTTCAAAACCCATAAAGATGTTTTGAATTATTTGGGGATTGGGCTGACGGATAGACTTTGGAAGCATATCCAGAAGCTTCCTAATTTTGAGTCCTCAATTCGAGTCTTCAAAAAACAAGAAGAATTAACTACTTCTTCCAAAGCTCCACCAGCTCCACCACTTCTTCCAACGTCATCTGCAAACATCCCACCAGCTCCAAAAATCACATTGAGTCAATCATTTGCCCCACAAGATCGCAAGGTATTTGATTTTGACCTAATCAGCCTTATCAATTAATTTTTCAGAGTCCAATTGGTCACTCGCACAACCGCAGTGTCTCCCAGGTGGCTGCTCGTTACTATTCTTAAATTTCTCATATTTTTTTGAAACTTTTTGGTTCTTTTTTCTTCTCTAAATTTCAGATTCGTGTTTGTATGAAAATATGTGTGCTGTGCTGTCTCTTTACTTTCTTGGGTTTGGATTAAATTTTGAATGGAAATAAAATTTAAACGTTTTAAGAAAAAAGAGACAGCAGCAGCACATGTGTTTGAATTGAACAACGAATCTGGAATGAGAGAAAAAAACAGAGGACAGAAAAAGAGAAGTAGTTTCTGAAAAATATTCGGTTGGGAAATTTAGCCGACCGATCGACCGCCGACACAGTCGACCGACCGAATTTGTGTATTTGCCCGTCTACATGCGAGACAGTGTTTGCGTATTCAGCATTTTATTTCACGATACATTTTAAAATATTTTTTGAACTTCAATGTTGGGTACGCAAACACAAATTCGGTCGGCGGTCGGTCGGCGGCCGCCAATTTTCGGAAGACCGAAACGGAAGCCAGAAGAGGGAACTACAGTACCGATTCATAAGATAAACAACAATGTATTTTTCAGTTGATATTGACCAGTTTCAAGCGTCTGTAACTCGGTTGTCAAGTTTTCGATCACTTTGAAAATTTAGAACGGTCTAAAACAGACCTAGATTGAGAAATTCGCTTTCGAAAGCTTTTTTCAAAATTCCTTAACTTCTGTTTCTCATGTTTTCAGTACAAAAAAATGATTCCTAGCAATTTCACACCAAAATCGAGTTTTAAGCTGCTAGGCAACCCAAAAGTTCAAATTTCGCGCATCGGCTTATCCACGAGGAGTACAAAATCCAAAATCGATCAATACCCCGATTCGCTGATTATCAATGGTTTTTAGTCATTTTTTGAGCAGAATATTTCCAATTTCAAACTTTTTCTACGCTTTCAGTACAAACACTGGCTGAAAAAGGGGAGCTTTCAGAAATCGGAAAAATAGGGTTTTCAAAAAATTCTGTGAATGCAAAGTTTTTAATGTAGGTCTGTTTTACAGCCTAAAGTTTTTTTTCAATTGATCGAAGACTTGACGTCCGAGCTCCAGATCCCAGAAGATGACAGAAAATCAACTGAAAAAGACGTTTTTGTATATCTTATTGACCACTATTGAAACCAGCAGAATAAGAACTATTTCAGAACGAAGACGTCTACCCACAAAACAATACAATTGCTCAATCGGATGACAGTAGATTTACCAAGAACCCAGAGAACATCTCGGCAAGTAACAGAGACCAAAGATCAAACAATGGAGGACGTTTTGTGAAGAAATCAGCGGCTGCGCTGATTGCTAAAAAGCAAGGAATGCAATCGGAAGATCCAGTTGGTTTTTTTTGGGATTTCTTCAATTAGTGATAGTTTTTATAGAACTCTGCAACTGAAATAATCGATCCTAGAATCGCCGAAGAGATTAAAAACCTGCGTGATCGGGAGGAAGAGCTAAAAAGAAGTCGCTCTGAACTCGCTCTGGTGACAAGTCCTCCACCAAGTTCCTATCAAATGAGCCCAAAGAAAACAAGTCCAGGAAGTAATATGAGAAGTGCTCAATCCTACGATCATCTGGATAGTTCTGTTCGTTCTCCAATCGAAAGATCCCATTCTTCTCATAATGTGTATCATATGAAGAGTGCAACGAATGGGGATTCTTCTTATCATCTCGGAGGTGCTTACGGAAATGCAAACTATGGATCCATGCCACGACCTCAACACAGAAAAGAAGGTGAGATTTCGAAGGAACCTGAAACACCCAGATAAACAACAAAAGTTCTCTGGGTTCTTGGTAACAAATGTTTTTCAGTTGATTTTCAGCCATTTTCAGGAGTGTACAGCACCTCTGAAGTTTCGAAACTTTAAAAAACTACAGTAATCTACCCTTGAAACTCTTAAACCTACCGTATCCTGAGCTACAGTAATCTATAAAAATACTCAAATTTTGGCCTTTTCTCAAATCCTAACATCTACAGTAATCTAATTTTTTTGGTAGTTTGAAATTTCAAAATTTCAAAGACTACTAGAACCCAAAAACATCAGTAATCCTCAGAAATCAAGAACTCTGGATTATATCATAATTCTATTGAATTAATCTACAGTAATCCAAAAACTTCAAAAAAAATCATCCAATTTAAGACTGAGCAATGACTTAAAATTTTGTGAAAAAAATTTGGGATTACTGCAGTTTTTAATATTTTCAAAATTTCAGGGGTTCTTTATGTCTTAATTACTATAGAGTTTGAGAAAAGTTTGAAATTTGAGAGTTTGGGATTTTCAAAAAATTCCGTGAACGCAAAGTTTTCAATTTAGGTCTGTTTTACACCCTTCAAAGTTTTCAAAATGAAATTTGACAGCCGAGCTCGAGGCTCCTGAAAATGGCCGAGAATCAACTAAAAAATAATTATTGTATATCTGTATTGATTGGTCCTGTAGGTTTCTACCATACTCAAATGCATGATCCCCGGACTCCCCATGATGCCGGATATCGCCAGTCTCGAAACGGCGACTTTTTTCGTCAGACACCAGCCCCTTCTGAGAAGACGAACGCCGGTTGGCAGAAATCCCCGTAAGACCAAAAACTCCAGATCCCTAGTTTCCCATTTTTCTATATTTCAGTGCGTCTTTCGAAACGAAGCCGCCAGTCGCAATTCATTCAGGCCTACAACTCCCATCATCCGCCAACATTTCAATTTCATCTTATCAACAAAGATCCAACAACGACAAATATCAGAATCCAAAATCAATGTACAGCGGACATGACTCGCATCGTAAAATTGGGCTCTAGACGGTGGTTTTTGAAGAAACGGCGGACGGTTTCGAAAAGAGAAGAATCATTTAAAAGGAGTCTGAACAAGAGTACCGTCCGATTTTCTGAAACTGTCACTAGTATCTTTTGATTAAGACAAATGTTTTTATTGCATTAAAATTATGTATTTTTCTAATATCATTGCAAAAAAATTCCAAAAAAATCGAAGTACCCGAAAAACGCCGGATAATGACGAAGATTTGAATTCCTTACAGTACTTTAAAGGCACATATCTCAAAAACTAAAAATGCTAGAAACATTTTGCCAAATAACAAAAAGTGTAAAATTTTAACATCTACATTTTTGTAGTTTACACCATTTTGATAAATACAGTAGTTTTTGAGACACAAGCACTCAAAAATAGTGGTTGCAAATAGGGACGATGATTTGAATTCCCGCGCAGTGAGAAACGTTAGGCCACGGCGACGAGAAGCGTTTTTAGGTGTCAGACTGTTTTTTACGTTTTTCAGCGCCGGAAAAAAATTGGAAAAAAATCCGTCAATATCGCCAATTAGAAAAAAAATGGCTTAGGTTTCTCACTGCGCGGGAACTCAAATCCTCGTCCCTGAACCTCTTTTTTCAAAGCGCTAATATCTCAAAAGCTACTGTAGTTCTCCAAATGGTGTAAATTACAAGAATGTAAATCTTATAATTTTACACTTTTTGTTAGTTGACAAAATGTTTCTATAATTTTTAATTTTCGAGATATGCGCCTTTAAAGTACTGCGCGGGAATTCGAATCTTCGTCCGTATTTGCGCACTTTTAAAAATTTTAAACGGCGTTTTTTGGAGTTTCAGTTTTTCAACAAAATTTGCAATAGTGGAAAAATAATGTCTTTTAAACATTTTAGTGCAATAAAAACTTGTGTCCCCATTTAACTGTTTCCTCTTCTTTTTTTGTGTACATTGGAAATTTCTGAGCTTCTGGTTCTCCAGAATCGATTTGATATTTCTATTCAGTATGTGTTCATTTTTTCAGATTTATTGAATATGAAAATTATATAAAATTCTATGATCAATCAAATATATCACCTGTAGCTTTTCGAGAACATGGGAATAAGAAAAATAATGGGTATGATTAATATACAGATGAAAAAGAAAATCGGGGAATAACATATATTATCCATGACAGTACTTTGGAGTCTCAACGGATTTCAGAGAATCCACGAGCAGGTTAATTTCCTTCCCAAAAATTCTTAAATTCTTGACACATCCCACAAACCGATTCGTAAGATCTAGCGATTTGAGGAGCTTGTGTTTCTTTGGATTGACACCTCCAAGATAGACCAATCCATTCGAATCGAGATTCGTGTCTCCAGGAGAAGCGACCACGTGGAGAATCTTCTTCGAATCCACCCACAATTCACATTTCCTTTCTTTTCTGAAATTGCTGGGTTCTTTTCTTTGTTTTTTGGTGTGATTTTTGACACTACATAATCACTCAAAAAGCATGCAATCCCCCCTTCTCAGATTTATCGGGGGAAATAGATGAGCACTTTCGTCGCGGAAATCCACGAGATCGTTGAGGCGTAAAATGTATTTACCGGAACTCTGAATGGCCTTTCAGAAGAACATCGATCAGAAAAAAAACGAGAGCACAGATGAAAGATAGTATCGGTAAAAAATAGAGGGGGAGGAAGGAAGGCATGTGACTAATTAGAATTGCAAACTAGACTAGATTTCAGCTGCTGTTTGTTTGTTCAAAATTTAACCAAGTCATTAGTTGATCTTTTATCCTGATTATCAAGGTTGGGCAAAACTAAGGATTTGAGTTCCCGCGCAGTTCTTTAAAGGGGCATATCTCAAAAAATGTTAAAAACATTTGGCCAACTAAAATAGGCTGTAAATTTTTACGATCTACATTTTCGTAGTTTCGTACTCTTTCGTACTCACTTTCGTACTCTGATAACTACAGTAGCTTCTGACATGGAATGACTCCCAAGTGTTACCTTCGAAAAAAATCGAGACCTATGTGGTTGGATAGAGCGTAAAAATTTTAGATTCCAAACGGAATAGTTGGTAAAAAATTTTTTTTGGGAGTTATGGTCCAAAAAGTACCAAAAAATGCCTAAATTTTCAAAAAATCATAACTTTGTCAGTTTATGTCCGTTTGTTGAAATTTAAAAAACAGTAGATAGACAATTGAACATTTGAGAATAAAATTTTTTAAGTTTTTTGCCATTCGATTCAAAATTAAACAATAACATAGAAAAAGTGGAATCAACTTGAATGGCGTTAACAGTTTTTTGATATTTTTTTCGTTCTCAAGTTATGATCAAAAACAAAAGATGTCCCATCATCAGTGAATATTTTTATTTTTAGGGCCTAATTTAAAATTCTGTTCAAGCCGTTGATAAGATTTTGTCATTTTAATCATGTTTAAAGAAGAGTCAGGCTACTTCCATGAAGATTAACTATAGATGTGCCCTGTCACATGTCACACTTCACCAAAAATAGGGGTCAGACTCGGAAAATCGTAAATATTTTTGATTCTAGGGCCTAAATCAAAATTCTGTTCAAACCGTTGATAAGATTATGTTTTTCTGATTATGTTAAAAAATGAGTTTGGCCGTTTCTATCAAGTTTAACTATAGATGTGCCTTGTCACATGTCAAAATTTTGCTTTTTTCAAGATGATGATTTTAAGAAATGGTACGGCATTTGAAAAATTGACTTTGTATGTCGCAGGATTCTATTTCAAACACTCTAGGCAAACCATACGCAAGTAAAAATTACAAAAACAAGTATGCCCCTCACCATGCCGGCCGCCGAGGACAACGAATTCAAAGCAGCCAAGTGCCAAAAATCGATATTTTTCGGCATAACTTGTGTGAGCATGAGTTCCCCCGGGGTATTAACATGTTTCTATAGTAAATTAAATGTGCTGAATTCAATGGTCATAATGAAAAAAAAAGTTAACCTAGGATTTTTGAGATATTGAAAATTTTTTCGATTTTTTCAAAAAATCAATAATCCAATCAATAGGAAAAAAATTAAAAAATTTCATTTTCAAATGTTCAATTAATTGTCTATCTACTGTTTTTTAAATTTTAACAAACGGACATAAACTGACAAAGTTATGATTTTTTGAAAATTTAGGCATTTTTTGGTACTTTTTGGACCATAACTCCCAAAAAAAATTTTTTACCAACTATTCCGTTTGGAATCTAAAATTGCTTTTTACGCTCTATCCAACCACATAGGTCTCGATTTTTTTCGAAGGTAACACTTGGGAGTCATTCCATGTGAGATACAAGCGCTCACAGATTGGGAACTCGAAACCGGTCACTGCCAGCTCAGCCGTAGTCAAAGCGGACATGGGCCGGCCGTGGCCGGTCGTTATACAGCTTTTCTAATGATCAATATCCCCTTACCTTCTAAATGCAACCGAATGCCAGTGATTATCAGCTACTGTAACATTTGTGGAGATTGGTTTCAGATGAACATCCGCTCCCAGATTCACTCCCACGTATAATTTCCCTTCGTCAATAAAAACAAGTATGAAATCTCCTCCATCCTCAGCCTGACTCCATGCTCCTTCCAACCACAGAACGCCTGCAAATTTGCTGTTGTTTTTTTTCGCTAAACGCCTTCTGAGAAGTCCCCGCAGGTGATGTGTGACGGGAGATTTAACATTCTAAATCCTATCTGGATTTGTATTTTAGATTGATAAAAACGTGCCAAATGCACCACTAAACTACATCATGACATTGAATTGGTTTCTTAATCTTTCTGGAGGAGGAAGACTTTTTCGAAAATTTGATAGACTTACCATATTGTTTTAGAGTCCGAAATTCGAAGGAGAAATTTGAAGACTTGGAGGAAGAAACCCTGAAAAAAAGAAGGGATTGCTATTTTAATCTTCCTTCCGCGTTGATCTAGATTGAAGTGGGACTCCAAAAATGTCTGAGAAATTATGTACGTTTCTAATATTATAGCGACAAACTTCGAACAAAAAGTCAAAATTCCCTTTCAAAACTTTGCTTAAAAAGGCTGGGACTAGTGCTTGAATTCCCGCGCAACACTTTAAAGGCGCATATCTCGAAAACTAAAAATGCTAAAAACATTTTGCCAATTAACTAATGGTGTGAAGTTTTAAGATCTAAATTTTTGTAGTTTTTACCATTTTGATAACTACAGTAGTTTTTGAGATACAGGGGCTAAAAGATTTTGCATTTTTTTCACTGTAGATGGCAGGTTGAAAGTTAAGAATCCTCCATTCAAGCTGAAAAAAAGCAAATTCATTGAGCGCTTGTATCTCAAAAACTACTGTAGTTATCAGAGTATAAACTACAAAAATTTAGATTTTGAAATTTTACACTTTTCGTTTGTTGGCAAAATGATTCTAGCATTGTTGGTTTTTGAGATATGCCCCTTTAATAGTAAGTACTGCGCGGGGTTTGGTCGGAGGCCCGCTTTAAAACTTACGAAAAAGTGGCATTGTTGGGGTAAACGAGAGCGTCATGTTCGTTAATGTGAATTCCTCGCACATCATCTGAAAAAAAGAATTCAGCTATAGCCATTTGTTCTTTGTTTTCAACTCGTTATCCCCCTTCTCCATTAATTATAGCTTTCTTTTTCATTCTCACAAAAAAGGAAGCAAAAATACGGCAATGTTTCTCGAAGACGTCATGATGTTCTCAATTCATACACAATTCAAAATTCATGTCAAAATTTTCTGGGGTCTCTATTTTGGGGAGGGGGTGTACATGAAGCTGAGAAGACCGAAATTGAGCCAATAGGCTCATTTTCTATAAATTGAACTAATTTTCCAAGGGGAGCAAGGAAACAAAATAAGATGCGTTATCTTCAAGGAAGGCGAAATATATGGGCATTTTTTGGACTACGGTAGTTTCCCTTCAGGCTCATCCGGTGGCAGTTTTTGACAAATACCACTGTATCCTTGGAGTCATGAATCAACTTGTTTTGAATAAGAAAACTTTTCTCGGAGGTCAAAGAAACTCATTTCCTTTTTTCTTAATTCATTTGGCTGCCCCCCCCCCCTCCCCCTCTCACCCGACAAAAGATAAATATCTACTGAGTAATGCAAACTTTGACCTTTATTTCTCCCTAATAAATGTATTTTTTCCTCAAAAGGTAACACTTTTCCATGCATTCTCAAATATTTTGTTCCTTCTTCGAAAAATAGTGATCACTCACTTTCCTGTTGCCTACAAACAATGTCTCCTTTCCTTTCAAAACAAGCACCATCGCATTTCGAACACTCCTTTTCATCCGTTTCCTTCAAATCAATCCGTTCCATTTCCTCGCTTGATACTCCCTGAAAAATGGATTTTTTATTATTTTCTAATTTTTTCCGGATAATTGGTTTTTTCAGCTTCTTCTTTGTGTTCCTATTCAATTGGTGATTGAGATTTATTAAGATTCTTGAATCCATTCAATTTCATTTTCTTTTAAAAATCTAATCAAATTTTTCTGAAAAAAGAAGGATTCAAAAGGCCCCCAATAAACATTTGAACACGGGTGTGGGTGGAATACTAATGTGGTTTGTTCTTCAAAAAGGATAAAATGAATTAAAATTGTATGGTTTGATGCTCGAATGAAAACTCAAACACAGAAAATGCAGAAAATGTTTAGTCATTCAAAATAAAATAAGGAAATGATATCGGAGGCAAAAGAAATCGAATCGGAAATCAGAGTTTGGATAAGGAAATTAAGAAAAAAAAAGATGACTCCATTTTTAGCTGGGTTAAGTGGCGCGCAATAATTTAAAGGCGCATATCTCGAAAGCTAAGAAAGCTAGAAACATTTTGCCAACTAACAAAAGGTTTCAAATTTCAAAATATATATTTTTTTAGTTTACACCATTATGATAACTACAGTAGTTTTTGAGATATAACGGATCAAAGAGTTTGCTTTTTTTAAGGTGAAACGAAGACTCCGATTCGAAATTTTCATTGTAGTAAAACGTTTTAACAAATGTATTTTCCAAATATTATTGAAGAAAAATTTAAAAAAAAACGTCCGAAATCTTCGAAAAAAATTCAAAATTATAGCAAAGGTGGTTAACAAAGGTGGTTACGAGGATTTGAATTTCCGCGCAGTGAGAAACATAGACAAGGGAAGAGGCACGCGTACTTTAAAGGCGCATAGCTCGGAAACTAAAAATGCTATAAAAATTTTTCTAACTACTAAAAATGTAAAATTTTAAGATCTACATTTTTTTAGTTTACACCATTGTGATAACTAAGGTTGTTTCTGAGATGCAAGCGCTCAAAATTCTTATATTTTTTAAATTAAATTTTCAAAATTTCAATCTTCAACTTTCAAAATTTCAATCTTCAACTTTCAAAATTTCAATCTTTTTTTTTCAAAATTTCAACCTTTTTTTCAAAATTTCAATCTGCCATATACAGTATTCCCTCATCAGGAAAACTGAACCATTTAAGTTCCAACTGTTCTGTCACCCTCCCACCAAGCTTCAAAATTTTGTATTCATTATTATTTGAGATCGAAAAATAAGTTATAACTGAAGCGGAACGCCCGGCTTCTGTAACTCTCCCGAGACTTCCATTTTCGGAAGTCTTTTTTGACAAAACAACGCTGTTCGAAAAAAAACGGAAGCAATAATTAGTTTTTTTTTTCTTTTTTTCAAAGATTATTCTCATGCTTCTGGCCAGTAAACACCTTCCCTTTTTTGCACTTTTCCCTTTTCAATTAATTCTTTTTCCACCTCCAGGTTGGAGGCTCCAACCTCCACCCATTTTCTTATTTATTCCTTGTAAATTACTCATCATCACGTATTTTGCTCCCTCAAGGAGGTTTTCTTTTTCCCCTTTTCTCGCCTTGGCTCCACCCTTTTTTGGCTCCGCCCCCTCTCTTGTGCTCACTCCTCCTTCTCATCCGCTTTTTCCAGTCATTCTCACCCGATTCCACACGGCTGTTTGAAAAATGCGTTTCTCCGTTATCGTCGCTTTCTTTGCCCTTTTGGCTGTTTCCTACGGATTTTTGTACGGTGAGTTGGAGCTACCTCTAATAGAATGGACAAGCTAACACCCCCCCCCCCAACCTTTAACTTCAAACTCATTTTTCTCGGTTCCTGCGAAAGATACCAAAAAGAGATCAACTAATAAAATATTTTTGATGTTATGATAAACACTTTCTCAGTTGACCACTTTTTGATATCTCTTACAGAAAATGAGGTACAAAGGCTTAAAGTTGGGAATGCTTGGTTCCTCGTGGATTTTGGTTCCACATGAAACATTTTCTAAAGATCTCTGAACTCTTTTGTTGGGTAATCATCTAGAAAAATAGAGGAAGGGGAACAAGAGATAATTTGAGCTAGCGGGAGAATTGATGATGACGAGTGCACCAATTCAAAGAAATTCCTTTTCCCCTTTTTTGAGCTTGTGGCCTTCAACTTTTTCCTCTCTAATGCATCAGTAATTTGGGACTTGAAGAAAAAATACCAAGAAAACGATTCTAGGGAGACTCCCATGAATACCATAGAGGGTCTTTTGTAATATCCCAAAAAATAAGGAAGGGGGACTTCTGCAGAGAAGACAGATTTAATTAAATTTGGGGCGGATAATTAGAAATATATACAAGGGGATACATATTTGAACCCACAGCAAATTTGTAAACAAGAAGACAAACATTTCAGAGATGGAAGATTCGTACCCAATGGCTGGCGAAGTTCCAAAGAGAAGTCTCGAGAACTTCTGGAGAAACATTCACCTGCAAATGCCATCAGCCAGCCGTTCTGGACAGAAGAGAACAGAGAGTTTGAGCCGCGCCAGTGCCAACGCCTACTACAGACTCGGTTGATAATCTCACTTTTCTCTTTTTTCTTAAATTTCCCACTCAATAAAGCTCTTGTTGGTCAAAATATTCTCATTTTAAAGTTGTAAACTTCGTGGGAAATGCTCAAAATTCTAAAAGCAAACTCCTCCTGCAGCAAACAAGATTAAAACGGAAATATGATGCTTTTGGAGTCATTTACTTAATGAAATCATGGATATTATATGAAAGGCGATATTTATGAAGTGAGACAATTTTTCTAACTGGCTCCTCTATAGTCAACGTCGTCTTTAATCTAGCTTGCCAGGTCTTTGGGTTTGGTTCTCTTCGCCTGATTTTAAACGGATTTTTGAAAAATTACAAAAATTGACTGAACGCCATATTTTATATGGTTGTGTAGCACTTTTTAAGATCTATTCAAAAAAACTTAAAATTTGAGGGATTTCTAGGTCTTCTAGCTACCCTCACCTGAAGACACGGCAAAATTTTGGGAACCGATTTTAAACAATTTTTTCAAAACTTTACTAAATTGTATTAGTGTTGTGTTTAATATGATTTTGTAGAGCTTCTTGAGAGCTATTTAGTTTTTTTTTCATCTTTGAATAATCTCAAAATCTAAGCGAATCCTAAGCATTTAAGCAACTCTTACCTGAAGACACTGGAATGTTTACAAAATCAGGTTTAGACCCATTTTTCAAATGACTTTCAAAATTTACAAAAATTAAATAAGATTGTTTTTATATGATTGTGTAGCGCTTTTTAAGAGCTATTCAATACTTTTTGAATTTTTGAAAACTTTCAAAATCCAGGAGATTTCCAATCCTTACCTAAACCCTCACATAGCTAAAACCTGTAATAGAAGAGCTCCCATAATGTCAACTTGAGCTAATTTATCTCAATTCCTATGCAAGTTATCAAAAATGTGTTAAATGATAAAATGTTTGTGATATTTTGATTAACAGTTTATAAGTTGACAACTTTTTTAAATCTTTGACAGGGACCGAGAAAAATTGGCTCAAAGTTAGGAGTGTTACAAAACATTTACTAATTCCCGAAGACATATTTCCAAGTTTTCGAAATTATGATCTCTGATGATCCCATGATAATGATTTTTCTCTCCTTATGATGATGTCAATATATCAGAATATCTAAAACCCAATTTATCAAAAAAGTACTCTCCCATCACATCAAGAATCATCTTGTTTCGTTGGATGTCTGACTCCAAGAATAACTCAACTCTTTGACCTCGATGTCATTTAATCAACCTAAAATGGAACTCTAGGCTGTCAGCTGCTCCTTCTTTTTAAGGTTTTGCAACACATTCTCCCTCATTCATTATTCAAAACATTTACACTCAACGTAATGAAATCATATGACTCGCTTTTTTGTTTTTTTTTGAAAAGCTGAGATTCAGAAGGCGTCGTCTAATGCTGCCATAATCTCACGCAGAAGAAAGCCAAAACAAAAATATAATAACGGGTAGTTTTCAATTGTTCGCCGCTAAAATATAATTGTCGGCTGGAAAAAAATACTCACAGAAATCAAATTGACGGGTAGCTCATTAATTCTGAGCTCCTGAAGCTCTCCTTCGAATGGAACATTCAACTTTCGAACTTTATGAGAAATCTCTCCATTTGGCACAAATCCAACGAACAGAACATCGTTTTTCAGAATATCCAGATGCGCATTTTTGCTCTGCGATGTGTATTTCTTTGCAAGTGTTCCGTTGACATACATTGAAACGTCTTTGGCGAATCGCTCAATTCTTACAGTATGCCAAGAGTTCAATGGGATCGGTTCTCCTCTGAATAATAAGATGAGATGAGATATTAGAGTTTATAGAATACCGAATATAGGATAATCCGGATCCGAGCTCATACACGAAATGCGGCTTTGCGTCGATCATGGCAAATGCGATGAAATCGGTGTGAGGATCAGATGGAACAGACCAATAAAACAAGAGGCCTGAAATGAAAAAGATATACATCACCGTTCGATAAGGTGTAGAAAGGCATATTTTCAGTTGATTTTCGGCAACTTAGATCATTTTCAGGAGTCTGAAGCTTGGCTGCCAAAATTCCGACCACTTTGAATTTTGGAGGGTGTTAGATAGACCTAGAATGAGAACTTTCCATTCACAGAGTTTTTTTAAAAATCCCAGTTTTTCAGTTATTTTCCGATTTCTGAAGGACAGCTGTTTTTCCACATTCTCCGTTCAAAAACAGACTCCATCTCACTTCAAAACTGCGACACTTCGAAACCAGTCATTTCGAAACCGGCCACTTCAAAACCGTAGTAATACAGGCGAATGGATGAATTTCAGATTACAAAAACAATTTTAGATTTTTCAAATATGCTTTTTTTCTGATGGAACACATCCTAAAAACTACAAAAATTCCAAACAAATATTTTTGAAAAAAATTACATTTTGGATTTTTTCGGATTTCAGAATATGATGGAAAAGCATATTTGAAAACTCTAAAATTGTTTTCGTAGTCTGAAATTTATGCATCCGCATGTATTGCCACGGTTTCAAAATGACCGGTTTAGAAAAGACTGGTTTCGAAATGACTAGTTTTAAAGGGTCACAATTTCAAAGTGCCGCGGAGCCCAAAAATAGGTCAAAAAGGGGTACCTTTCAGAAATTGGCAAATGTTTGAAAATCTAGGAGTTTTCAAAAAGTTCTGTGAATGCCAAATGCTCAATCTAGGTCTGTTTTACACCCTCCAAAACTTTCAAAGTGATCGGAAACTTGACAGCAGACCTCTAGACTTCTGTAAATGGTCAAAATGGCCAAAAATCTGATTGACCAGTATTGTAAATAAAAAAAGCCTCTGAAAAATTACCGTTTGTTCGGTACGGTTGAATGCAATTTCCACAAACGTCTTCTCTCTCACATCCATATTCAAATTTTCATATTTCAGATATCCATTCTCCTTGAATTTAACGATTCGGGAGATTTCCGGAGTCATGTCTGAAATTTGTCAAAATATTTTCAAAATCAAAGTCCAGAAGATATGCAGATTATTCGAAGGGTACAGCAGTTCGGGGGCACAAAGGGGTATAACGTGATTTAGGGATACAAAATCCACGATTCGGGGGTACAAAGGTCGGATTTTTTCAGGTATTTTGTAACCCTAAAATGTCTTGTACCCTAATGACCCTTAACTCTTTGCACCCTCCGAATTAATTGTCAAGTTCAGAAGTTATCATACAGAATGGTTTGACATCAGCTATTCGAACAGGAACATCATCAATCTCTAGGAATCCAATAATTGCATACAATCGACTTTTCGGCCATTTTCCATCCGAACCCAAGAAGATTTTCTTAGCAGACGAATCCAGAACACCGTCGAAAGTGTGTTTTTGAATCTCTCCGTTTAGTTTGAAATGCAATTCGTTTCTTCTCCATTTCAACTGAAACCACTTATCTAGAGTATTTTTCGATTAGCCTGAAACCTGTAATAAAAGGGCTCTCTGGCTTTTAACTTTGGGCCAATTTATCCAGGTGTTTGTGGGAGATATCAAAAAGGTTAAACTGATAAATTGTTGATCATAATATCACCAATATTTTATCCGTTGTCAATTTTTGGATATCTTTCATAGAAACCGAGATAGTTAAGCTCAAAGTTGACAATGCGAGGCTCTTCTATTACAGGGTTTTCCATCAATTCCTCACCTCCAAGCTAACATTATACGCAATCGTTTGTAATGATTCGACTCGTGCTTTGCTAACTCTGAAACCATTTTAACTGATAAGAAGAAATTTTTGCGATTGTGTCTGTCTCTTATCATTAAACTTCTAAAAGATGAGTGGAAGACATTCCATCGTTATTGATTTTTCCAGAAAACCTGGATCTAATATTGAATTCAGTCGCGTTCGGCATGATTCTGATGACAGTGTGGTAGGTGTCTTTTTCTCAAATGTAATTTTCAAAATCAGATGACAAATCTCATTAGACATTTGCAAAAAGATTCGAAGAGGGCGAAAATTAATTAAAACATTTTTCTGCAAGAATGTTGCCCGAAAACTCTTCCTGATTCCAAAAATGTCATCAGGATGCTAAACTAGACATTGAATAGAAAAAATTGGGGTTTAATTGAATTTTATGGAATTTTAGCCCTCTCGAAAATCGAATTTCAGAGATTCTGTAAGCGATCAAAATCAAAAAGTTGTCAACTGACAAAATGCTTATCATAAGATCCAAAAGGTTGGTTTTGTCAGTTGATTACTTTTTGATATCTTTTACAATAACTGAGATTCATGAGCTTGAATTTGACTGTTCGGATGACCTTCTACTGGAGTGTTTACGGTATTTCTGATCGGAGTCCTCCTATGCTCAAAAATTCAAAAATCTATATTTTCTAAATTTTCAGCTCTCAAAAGCACCGAAAAAGCTAGAATGTGGTTGGTTGCCGTGCTGTATGTCTCCAGAAGATGCTGAATCATTTGGCCACCACGTCTCCATATTCATGGTTGCTCTCGTTGCTTTTGCAACGTTCTTTTGCGTCACTTTCATTCTAGTTCTTGTTTTTATTTTGGGTTAAAACTTTGTTTTTAAAAATGTACATACATGATAACGATCCGTCGATTTTCATGAACGATTTCCAAGTCCTTTTTGTCTTCTGTCACCATTCTCAATAGTGTCCCTTCTCGTTTCTCTTTGAGGTGAATCTTTAAAAAATTGGGGAATTTGGGAGGAATCTAAATTTGAATTCTTACATGCAAAGAGAGTTTTGAGAATCTGGTCACATCTTTTCTCGAAACAAACCAATCAGATTTCAGATCAGTGGCTAGTTCTAGTTGATCATATTCTAAAATTATATATGTTTTTAAATAGAATTTTTCCTAAATCCAACTTCTCTTTTTGAAAATTTCTACACAAATGCCTTGATGACTTCTCCATCCTTCTCCACAGTCACAAACAGATTTCCTTCCTGGGCGAGTTATGCATTGTGCGGATAGCTGAATTTTATTTTGTCAATTTAAGGGGCTCTTTTATTACAGGGACCTAAAACAGGTTTTACGGTAGTTCAAACTAACTTTTTCACAATCTTCATGTCTAGAACATGGAGACCCTAATCTCTTCTCCTTAGTGTTTTGCTCTCTCTGGAGACGATCCAAAACTTCGAAACTTTCTGTATATTAATTGATTAAATCCCTCTCATTCAAAATCCTTACCATCATCACAGATTCCCATGGAAACTGGTACCACATCCATCTGATGCTTACAGGCGAACATTTTAAGTTCACAAAGATTTGAATACGTAGTTCCATCAGAGCCACAAACTGTCATGTTTGCCACCACTCCTAGGCGATCCATATTGCAAGTTTGAGGGCAGACACAATCCGGGAAACTGGCTGGCGAGGGGACACATTTGGCTCCATGGAAGCAGCGGAGGGAGTGACAATCTCTGAGAAAAAACAGGTGTTTTCCGAAAGATAATTTTCGAAAATTGCTGAATTCAATTGTTTAAGTCCGTTCGAACGGTCCGAACACTAAACTGGGATCAGTGTGCTCGAGATTGTTTTATCATGGTAGCCTAACTTTTGCAAGGTGAGTTTTCTAGGCCACTAGGTGCAACAGCCTAGTAATGGCCTTATAGTTTTCTAGGTCATTTACATGGTGACCTAGAAAACTCAACTTGAAAAGTTAGGTCGCCACGTCCAAACAGCCAAGGTGACCCACCAGGTCAATATCTGGTCATTTCCAGCCTCTAAATATGGGTGACTTAGAAAAATCAACTCCAAAAGTTAGGCCATCATGTTAAATGGCCTAGGAAACACATCAGGTGTATGTTAGATCATTTCTGGACCATCAACTACGGTGGCCTAGAAAAATCATATTGAGAAAGTTAGGCCATTATATTCTTCACATGAAACTGGAGTGTGTGTTTTTTGACATCGTTCGAACGACTTTTTGAAATCTCGTCCGGAAATTGTTCAAGAAAAATTTTGAACACTATTTTTGACAAATCGTTCGAACGTAAAGAAGATTACACACTGGTACCCAATAAAATAGTTACCTTGGTGTTTTGTAATCAGTTGTAGGTACACAACCTTCAGCAGCCATCATAAAACCATTGGGACATAGGTTACACTTGTCACCAAGAGCTCCGTTTCTACATTCACACTTCCCTGTCGTCTGCTCACAATCCGATCTAGCTGATCCGAAAGCACTACATCCGCATGCTAAAAGTTACACATCGATTATTAAAAATCTCTTACTGAATTTTCTTACGCCTGCAAGATAATGCTCCTTGAGCAATCAAATGGATTCCCCAGAACGACGGTAGACAGTGATCACATTTGAGTCCAGAAACTCCAGGTCGACACTTGCACTGTCCAGCCTCATCACATGTATGACCGAATGATCCAACTCGGTTGCACTCACAAGCATCTAGAAAAATTGTCAGCTCATGGTTAGCCCCACCATCTCCGATATCCCAAACCATTCTTATTATTGCACTGTGAAATCAGTGGAAGAACATGGATTTCTCTCTGGTCTCGACAAGAAATAGTGTTCAGATGACACTGATTCTCATATATAATCCCATCAGATCCACATATCGGGTATTCCGAGGAGAGATTGCACACTGGACAAGTGCACACTCCATTATGACATGTTGCTCCGAATGAGCAATCGCACGGGCGGCGCGCTTTTATAAGTAACTAATAGAATTCAGAACTGATAAGAGATTAGAAGTAGAGAGACCAGACACCATGCTAACTCGAGAGAGATAGAGATAGAAATCCACGGTCGAAACAGAAGAATAGTTTGGATTCCGGAACATGCTCAAACCTGGGAACGACGTCTGGGCAGAATGACAGTGTGATGGGGGCATTTCGGAAATCGGAGCACCTTTTTGGCACGATGCTAGCTGAAGATGGCAGAGAGAGGGGTACAGTACACCGTTCTCTCCACAGATTCTGGCGGATAGTGGTGGGTTGGCAGGGCAGTTGTAGGAGCAAATGCACACTCCGCTACGACATTCTTCTCCGTATCGGCATTGAACATGAAGGCATTCATCTGGAAAAGAGACGAAATTGAGTGTAGGAAATTTATTCTCGGAGAAATAAATCTGTGAAAATCGAATACATTACAACCTGTAATAGGAGGGCACCAGCACTGTCAAGTATAGACTAATTTTCTCGGCTCCTGTCGAAGATACAAAAAAGTTGTTGACTGATAAATTATTCATCATATTATCACAAAAATTTTGTCAGTTGATTACTTTTTGATATATTTCAAAGGAACCGAGATGAATGGGCTCAAATTTGCAAGTTAGGGATAGCGTTCTATTGTTTACGGTAAAAGGTCCTAGCTTTTAGATTTGAGCCGATTTATCTCGGTTCCTGTAAAAGACATCAAAAATTTCTCAACTAAGAAAATGTTTATCATAATACCACTAACAATTTATCAGTTGCTAAACTTCTCATATCTTTTACAGGAATCGAGTGAATTGAGCTCAAAGTTGGGTGACCTTCTATTACAGGTTTTACGGTAACCTACCACATTTTCCTTCAAACGCCATCACAATAAACTTCTTCTGATGACAGGCAGATTTTCTCAGATGACATTCAGATGAGTACGTCACCGCATCCGTTCCACAAACTTCTTTGCCTTGACTCATTTCGTAAAGTGGACAGTCATCCGGACATTTGCATTCTGGTTTGTGATTATCGCCGACTACACATGTTGAGTAGAAGTCGCATTTCTTGTCTTTACATCCTTCTGAAACTCAATTTTCCGTTGTTATTTTGTTAAGGTAGAAATTACCACAAACAGAGTTGTACTTCACAAATATGTCTTTCTGTGTCATACAAGCAGTGTTACGGAGTTTACATTCGTTTGCATATGTGATTCCATCGCTTCCACAAACTTCTTTAAGTTCATCACTACATGAGGGACAAACACATTTTGGTTTGCCATCCACGGCTACACATACTTGAGGTTTCTTGCAAGAATTGAATGTTGCGCAAACTCCGATTCCTAAAAGTTGTTACCGTAAAACCTTTAATCAAGTTTGAGCTCAATCATCTCGGCTCCTATCTAAGATATCAAAATTGTGTAAACTGGTAAAATGTTTGTGACATTATGATAAATAAGTTATTAGTTGACAACTTTTTCATACCTTTGATAGGAAACGAGATAAGTTAGGAGCCCTTCAACTTACCACAAGTTCCCTGGTATTTCACTTTGATCATCGATTTTGTCTCACAACTTTTCTTCTTCATCTCGCACTCGTTATCAAAAGTTTCGCCATTCTCAAAATGACTTATTTTTCCTAATTTTGCCCGTTTCTGTAATCTTACCGTTGCACAAACTGGTCTCATTACATCTTCACACTTCGATGGACATTCACACTCCGCCGTTCGATCCGGTTTGACAACACAACTTCCCCAGAATCCACATTCCATTTTCTCACATGGACTTCCCACTTCGTTACAGTTTCCTCTTTTCCAGATGATAATATCCTTTTGCTCTTTGCATGCGGCAAGTTTGAGGAAGCATTCATTCATATATCTGGAAACATTTATGAATTATGATTCAATGAGTTGATGCACAACTACCCGGACTGATAAAAATGGGTATATCTTTAGATATATCCGTCTTGAGATTACAAAAATTAGTAGAAATATAATTTTACGTTTGATTCAAATCTACAAAACGTTCCAATGCGATTCCTCAAGTCTAGGTATTGTTATGATTGTTCGAAGATGAACGGCGTAATGTTTCTTGTGATTTTCATGAGATGAAGCAACTTTGACAAACGATAACTCATCTCAGAATTGATCAAGTAACTTGGCCAGTTTACTGATGAAATATTTGATTTTCAGCATACCGACTTTCAGCTCAGTACAACTCAAATTTTATCCTACTACAGAATTGAATTATGTTCCACCCCGCCAGCTAAAAAAAGCAAACTTTGAGCGCTTTATCTCAAAAACTACAGTAGTTATGAAAATGGAGTGAACTACAAAAATATAGAACTTAAAATTGCACGCATTTTGTTAGTTAGTAAAATAAGCCTATCATTTTAAGCTGTTGAGATATGCGCCTTTAAAATACGCGCGCTCCTTGGCGTTTCATTTTTAGTCCGGGTAATTCTGTACATTTTCACCTACGTTTTTCCATCAGTTCCACAGACATGCGCACTATTCATCGAGCATTGCTCGCTACATCTACATTCTGGTCTTCTATCCACTCCCAACTGACACGTCTGACCATTTGGACATTTGTGGCCATGGCATGGATCTGAAACCTTTTGGTCTTGACATAATGTTCTTGACATATTGTCGAATTCGAACCGAGTTATACCATTTCCAAATTGATGGCCTAGAGTTCCGAAGGTTTGGGTTTCTAGGCGACCAACTTAAAGGGGATGTAAGTTAGCTAACGTGAAGCTATACGAATCCTGAAACTTGTTTCGAAACGTTCTGATTTCGCTCAATTAGTTGGTAGCCTAGAAAATCTAAAATTTGGTGCGCCTTTGCAGGCTCTGCCGTAGTTTATTTTAGAATTAATGTTTTGGGCCAACCAAACTAGCTATAATAGAACTTGACGAGTACTACGAAATGATAGTGTTTAAAAATTTCAACTTGTCTATGAACAAAGTTACAAGCCATAAAGTAGCCAATCCGGGCTGGGCCGCGCTCTGCCTGTTTTTAATCCGCTTCTTCTGTAACTTTGTTCATAGACTAGATACAGTTTTTCGAATAATATCATTTTGTAGCACTTATTAAGTTTTATCATATCAAGTTTAGATTATCTAAAAATATTGATTCTGAAAGAAACTATGACAGGGCCCGGGTTGCATGCATTCTTGAAGTTTCCTAAAAGTTTCATCGACGTTCACCGACTCACCACATCTGCCATAAAACTTGACTGTGATGTTTGTCTTTGATTCACAAGCGTGGTGTCTCAAATGACACGAAGATTGGTAATCGACACCATGCGACGAGCAGACAGGTGAAGATTCCACCGAATCACCATAATTTGGACATTGAGTCGGGCAGATGCATTGAGCGAGAAGAATCCCATTTATCTGGTTCACCACACAATCCTCGCCTGGACCACATCTCAAATCTTCGCATGGATTTCGCTTCTCTGAAATGTTTTTTGTTATTTTTTTTTGTTCCCAGAAACCACAATCCTCCACCTTTTGGATATTTGTAACACCCATCAACTAGACAGAACCATGAGAATAGATATAGAAGAGAGAACGGAGTATACATAACGAGGGAAAGAAAGGAAAAGAAGTTCGGAAAATGGAAGAAAGTGTGAATACCCAAGGGAGGAGCACAGGGCCGAAGGCTCGAATCTAATTTGTCTCCTGACACATCCTTCTTCTTCTTATCGAGTCAAAGAAAAGAAGAAGAGGGGAACCTCTTCAAAACTACTCAAAAGGATTTCAATGGGATAACGAGTTGTCGTCACAAAAGGACAAGGAAATCTTGTCAGATGTTTGAAACTTGCTCTCGTTATCAGCCATTCATCACTGCTAGAAAGTTCTTTAACCATCAGACCAGGAAAAGTTAGGATGAAAAAAATTGAGAATAGCAGGGACCTAAAAATATGTGTTTGCAATTTCAAATTATAGAAAAATTATAAAAGCGCAGACCCTGGAAATTCGAATTTCCATTTAGGAAACACCAATTAGCTTGTCTACTTTAAAGGCGCATATCTCAAAAACTAAAAATGCCAGAAACAATTTGTCAACTAAAAAATGGGTAAAATTTTAAGATCTACATTTTTGTAGCTAACACCATTTTGATATCTACAGTAGTTTTTGAGATAGAAGCGCTCAAAGATTTTCCAATTTTTAGCTTATAGGGGGACTCCAGCCAAAATGTTAGGTCGTGACCTGGAAACCCAATAAATGAAAACTAGGCCATGACCTAAAAATAGAAAACTGGGTCACAAAAAATCGACATTTTAGGTCAAAACATGAAAATTAAAATTCAGTTGATGATCTAGAAACTCGTATCCGCCCATGACCTAGAAACCGAAATCTAGATCACGGCCGAAAAATTGAAAACTAGGTCATGGCTTAGAAAATTAAATCTTGGCGAAAACGTAAAAACTAAAAACGAGGTCGTGACCGGAAATTGAAAAATTGGAATCTAGGTCATGATCCAATTCCAAAAAATAAGTCACTACCTGAAAAATTCAAAATTTAGTGCATGGTCTATATTTTGAAATCTAGGTCATGGCCTGAAAATTGAAATTTAGGTCGTGACCTAGATTCCAAAAATTATGTAACGACCTAAAAGTTGTTAATATAGGTCATGACCTGAAAATGTAAAATATAGGTCAAAATTTCAAAAATGGAATTTAGGTCATGGCCTAGAAACTACGAAACTTGGCGATGACCTAAAAACTAAAATTTTGGTCGAGACCTAAAATTTAAAAAAATCTAAAATCTAGATCATGACCCAATTCCCAAAAAAGTTATGTATTTTTCGGATATTATTACAAACAAACCAAAAAAAATTCTAAATCCCAGAAAAAAAGTTTTGGTCGCAGTCCCCCTTCAAAGAATTTTGAAGAAAATCATAAAAGCGGAGCCCCTGGAAAACCTAAACTTTCAATTTTCTTATAATTTTCAAATATGCCTCTAATGTTTTTACTCGTTCACACTTCTATCAGTTATCCTCTTATCAACTCGTTTTCCCATAACTTTCTTACAAGTCAAAACACTTGAAACTTTTTTCTCACACTCTCGAAACCACTTTGCCTTGTCCTTTGTCATATTCATAATAGTCTCATTTGTATATTTTTGGGATTACTGTGTTTCCTACAGAAGAGTTTCTCTTCTTTTTGGCAGGTGTGCGTGCTTCCTTCTGCACTCTTTCCCCCGCTGTTTGAACGCAGTGTCGTTTCGGTCATTGGAGCAGTAGCCAAACCACAAACAATGAATCGAGAAGGAGGAAGAAGCGCGAGAAACATGTTGAATAAAAGAACATATTCTTCTCTTTTCAAATCATCATACGGACCAATGGCAGGAGCAACAGATGTCAATTGAATAGACGAATACAATATGATTATTATGTGGAGTCAGATGGGTGGAGAAAAGAGAAGGACTAATTGGTGGAATATAAAACTTACTGCACGGTCCCTTGGATGCCACTCGTAGACGAACTCCTTTCTTTGCTAGGACACAACTTCTGACTGATAAATGACAGAATGATGAGTATGATGTATGATCCGATCCACAGACAACATCTGTGACCACTCGACACTTCGCCTTACACTCGCATACTCCGGTTTTTAATCCACATTTTGACCCGAATGGACAGAGTGACGATTCGCAAATGGCTGAAGTATTTTGAGTTTTAGAAATTGGATAGCATCCAAAAAAATTGAAAATACCGTTTACCGTACTCCTTCTAATAGACGTCTACCCAAACCATCAACTTTAAGATCAATTATCTCGCTTCTTGTCAAAGATACTAAAATGTTTTTCTTAATATTACCAATATTTTATCTGTTGATAATTTTTTGATATCTCATATAGAAACCAAAATAATTGGGCTCAAAGTGCAAGTACAGTACCGGTCAATAAGATATACAAAAATTTGATTTTCAGTTGATTTTCAGTCATTTTCAGGAGCCTGGTCCTCAACAGCCTGGACTTCAGTTCATATTCTGCCGATTTCTAAAATAACACCCTTTTTGGCTCATTTTCACCCACCCGGTTCAAAAATGGTGTCTTTCAGAAATCGGCAAATAGCTGAAATAATAGGAACATTTGAAAAATTCTGTGAATGCAAGATTTTTAATCTAGGTCTGTTTCACACTCTAGAAAGTTTTCAACTAGATCAGAAACTTGATAGCCGAGCTCGAGACTCTTCAAAATGGTCAAAATGACCAAAAATCCATTAGAAAAAGGTACATTTTGAGCACGGAAAAATACGAAAACTGGCTCAAAACACAAATATTTTGAAAACTCAAAATTTCAGCTTAACTTATAGCCAAAAATTGATTTGAATAGCTCAAAACTAAAAAAAAGTTATGCTGGTCTGAAAAATTGTTCAAAAAATGAGTATCCAATTTTTCTCGGGTTTTAAAACTACCATAACTTAGTTAGTTTTTCAGCTGGATAAATGATTTTTGGCTAGAAATGAAGCTGAAATGTTGAATTTTGAAAAACAAATTGTAGTTTGTTGTATCAATGTATTTGATGCATCATTATAAAACCCCGAGCACAAGCTCAATTATCTCGATTCTTGTAAAAGATACCAAAAATTTGTCAACTGTTAAATTATTTATCATAATATCACCAATATTTTACCAGTTGACATATTTTCGATATCACTTACAGTCACCGATATAGCTGAGGTCAAACAAACCTACCCTGTTTTGTCCTTCTTCTTTTCCGATGTGCTTGTTTTCTGGAGATTGTATAGAAAGTATCGAAAACCGGAAGACTGACACGTATCATTGGAGCATCCAGAAGAAACGTTCCTTGTTGATTAGTTAATGCGAATATTCGAACATCAGAAGCAAGAAGACGGTGTGCACATGGCTGGAAAACTTTGTTGGCTAGAATTATTCGAGATATGGAAAAAAAAAACTCACCTCGGTTTCCAGAACATTGCCAATCACAATTATCTTACCCTCATCTAGATATTCTCGTCCTTTATATATCCTTCGTGGGGTGACAGTAATGTTCTGAACTTATTTCTTATAGAATGCTCTCCAACTCTGAGCCCATATATCTCATTTCCTGTGAAAGATACCAAAAAGTGGTCAACTGATAAAATATTTATCAGGATATCACCTATGTTTTATTAGTTGAAAACATTTTGATATCTTTCACAAGAACCGAGAAAAAGTGGCGCAAATTTAAAAGTATTAGATTACCTCAATATACAAAGAGTCCACTCGATAGGAAATTCCAGATATAATTCCAGCCAAAATCACATCAGAATTTTCAAATAGACTATGAACATAAGATCGTGTAGCTTTTGGTTTTATGCAACTTCCATCAATATCCCATACAGTAACCGAAAGTAAAAAGAGCAACAAGGCGGTTAGTCTCATGTCGACATTTGAGAAGAAATACACAAAATGCTTACAACAAAATGCTTTCAATTGAAAAACTTTTCAAAGTGAATTGAACAAATTTGTGTCGTCGACTCCAAAAGAAATGTTTAAGGGAGGAAAGGTGCCAATGCGCGTGTTTGTATTGAAAGAAGCTGCCCGTAGGAGAGCACCTGTGCACTCTGTCCCGTAGAAAGAAAGTGGGCGGAGCTACATAGAATGCGATTTATGATTGTTTATGGCTGATTTTAGTATCTCATAAATAGTTACCGTAAAACCTGTAATAGAAGCCCCCCCCCCCCCCTCTAATAGAAGGACCCTCTGAGAAGGGCTTGAGAAAATAGAAAAAATTTGCGTATTTTTTCGGAAAAAAATATTCCGGAAATTCGGAATTTTCACAGAATCTTGTTGAAACATAGATTTTTTTGCTCAAAAACTTGCTCAATTCTGATGGAAGATTTATGGATTTTTGTGTATCTTGAACAAAAATTCGCGAATGTTTCAGATTTGGTTGCTTTCTATTTCTAATACCCGAATTTTTCTTCTCTATTTAGGTCTCCTTTCATTTAATTCTTTATTTTCGATATATTTCCACGAATTAAAAGAAAACTCTTTTTCAAACAACCGCCTTTTTGGGGGACTAGGTGGCCTAGAGAACGACAGTCGGTGTACTCCTCTCGGACAAAGATTTTTAGAACAATTTTTCCTCAAATTTTTTCGAATATTCGCTTTTCAGGTCAGAATCATTTGTTTCTTTTTCGTTTTGTATTATCCAAATAGTAAAAAACTGTGTTTTTTCTGTGTCATTATCATTTCCCTCATTTGTTTCCTTTCAGCCACTATGGACTACACTTCAAAACTGCGTTTCGCTGTCAGTTGTTCAAGTAATATGAATCGATCAATGGAAGCTCATGGAATTTTAAAGTTGGTTTATTTACAAAATATAAAATATTATATAGATATTTTTCCAGAAAACGCGGCTTTAACATCGAGTCGTACGGTTCGGGAACTCAAGTGAAAATGCCGGGTCCATCGATTGATAAGCCGAATTGCTACGAGTTCGGAGCGACGACATATGAAGAAATTCATCAGGATTTATCTGCGAAAGATCCCCTTTTGTAGGATTTTCTTGTTTTTCATTCGAAATTGGCGGTTTGTGTTTCAGATATCAACAGAACGGACTGCTCAGTATGGTTGACCGGAATCGCCGAATCAAACCACGCCCACAACGTTTTCAGGCGGAAACTCGCGAGTTCGATATTGTATTGTGTCTGGAGGAAAGAGTTTTTGATCAGGTGAGATTGGCTGAGCTGATTAATTGAAAACTGAATATTTTTCAGGTTGTGGACTTCTTGAATCGCCGAGTTGGCACATCCGGAAATCCAGTTCATGTTATCAACATTGACATTGAAGATAACCCAGAAGAAGCTACGTTCGGTGCATTCTTCCTTGCCGATATGTGCCAAAAGCTCGAGCAATCTGTGGACTGCGATGAGGAAATCGATCAAATCATTACAGATCTCGAAGATTCAAATCCCAAAAGAAATCTTCTTCATACAATTTGTTTCTACTAAATCTTTTGTTTCGATTTTCGAGTATCAATGAAAAAGACTAAAACTATTTACTAGAATACTTAAATACGACAAGAAGAAACACATTCATATTCAATAAGGCCTGCGAAAACTCTTCATGCATTGTCAAACACAAAATCCTCTCTTTTATTCTTTGTTTCTTTTTATTCGCATACTTCAAATATCCTTATTCTCTGAGCTCGATCCTAAAACCGCACTTCCATATGCATCTCGGTAATTCTCCTCCCAGTCATAAGCGTCTTTCATGGATTTGTCGCCCATCATATCCTGAAAACGTTTAAATAGAACTGGAAAAAATGCGATAGCTTACAAAAAGAAGAGCTTGCAAAGCGGAATAATCAGGCTGGTCACTCGAACGAAGACTGAAAACAGCCGCACAAAAAATTGTGTAGGCAGGGCCGGTGAGTTGTAGGAACGGAGAATTTGGTTGCTGAAACTCTTCCTTTGCATTTCTAAGATCTTCAATATGAGTCAACTTCCATGGAAGATTCACAAGAAGCAATTCGACACCAGAATAAGCCATTGACACAAAATCGTCAGCTGGACTTTGATCTTTTCGATCGTGAACACGAACGGAAACATAACGAAGTGTTCCTCTGAATCCGGGTCGGTTGCGTAGTTTCCGACGTGTTCCATCTGGATTCATGAATCTTCTCACTAGGCCATAATCGACAAGTTTTAAGACATGGCGAGTCTGAAAAAGGAAGGATATATTTAGAAGGAGACCTGGGAATTTTCCCACGTTTTGCGTGATTCCGAAGCACATGTTAGCCGGCTTGACGTCACGATGTAGATATCCGAGGGAGTGAACGTCACGTAGAGCTGCGATTCCCTAGAAGGCTTTTTTGTATTCTATTGACTGTTTGGGGGTAGCTGTTTTATGCTTGTATGCAAAAATCGGAGCTGTGGAAGAACAATTTTTTCTACTTTACTTTTTTCTCGATTTTCGTCCGTTTTCCGGCACTTCGACGAAACCCTATACAAGCACTTTGAGCTCAATTATCTCAGCTCCTGCAAGATACATCAAAAATGTGTCGATTGATAAAATGGGGGTGACCTTACGACAAACATTTTATCAGTTGACAGATTTTTGTTATCTCTTTCAGAAATTGAGATAATTGAGCTCAACGTCAAAAGGGTACCTGAATTATGATTCTCGCGACTGTGCTCGGACTGAGACGTTTCACAGGACTGCGTTTTTTCAAGTCCCCGATATTTGGTCCAAGAAGCTGCATCACTGAAAATTTTGAGTTTCAAAACTTCCGAAAATCCCAGATCTTTGCACCAATAAAGTTGAGTTGATCCGTGTGTCCCGATGCACACATAATAGGAACATGTGGTCTTCCTTGAAGACGATACAGAATCTTTTGCTCTAACAACATTCGTTTACTAGTACTTCCACGTCTCACAACTGGCTCAATTTTTATGACGACGTCATCTGGGAAGACTGGATCAGAAGCGTAGTAGATTTGACCGTAACCTCCGCGTCCTATGAGACCTCTGACTTGGAATCTTCCTCTGAACATTTCATTCATCTGAAGAAGTTCTGATCCGTTCTGATCTTTCAGCGGTGGTGTGTACTTTTTCATTTCGGGTACAATGATGCCACCCTCGAGAACACTGAAAATTAAATCGCTGTTCTCGTCATCTTAACTTCCTGTGTCAAACATCCGCCTTCCACCCACCCTCTCCGTTAATCTCCCCCTTCATGTTTGTTAGTTTTTTATATTTAGTTTGGAAGTTTTGAGGTTTTTAAGTGAAAAGTTTGGAATCTCCTAATATTATTGTTTTAAAAAACCATAGAAACGGTGTCCCTGCAAAAACAAATTTTAATGTTTTTATAACCAGCCGCCAATTAGCCGCCAAGAGGGCCAAACTAAAAAAGCTAAATAAATTTGCCAACTAACGAAAGATGTAAAATTTTGAGATCTAATTTTTTAGTTTATACCATTTTGATAAATATAGTAGTTTTTGAGTTACAACTCAGCAAAAAACCGCAACAGATGTGCCTCACTTGCGCAACAGGTGCCCGTCGACCCTGAAACTGTTGCGCAAATGCTGTGGAACTGTAGGGAAAAAGTGTTACAGATGCTGCGCAAGTGCTGTATCGTACCTAGCGGCGGCCGCGCGGATCCTCGCATTTTAATATTTTTATCAGATAAAAAACGACTTCGGTACAATTTAATATCACAATATTTATTGAGACAACAATTATTTACATTTAAAAATATAACAAAAGTTAGAAATGAATATATTTTCGAGGAGTCCTGTCGAGCACAATTCAAAAATTTGGTAAATTTCGTTGATGGTCGTGTGTCGTAGTCTTCATAGATGGAACGCAATCTGAAATTTAGCTAATTCAAAAGATGTAGGAAAATTTTTCAAAATTTTTTGTAAGAAACTACATAAGAAAAGAAAAAACATTCATTAATTTTTTTCTCCTGATTTTTCGTCCGACTTCTAACCATGAATCTGCTGAACTCGCCTTCAGTCAACTTTTGAATCAGGGGAACACTGAAATTTCTATTATAATTGAAAAATTGGAAAAATATTACACAATTTACCTCAGTTATTGGTCCCAATTCGTTCACTCCAAGTCGAGAAAGTTGTCGCACGGCGAATTCGGCGCATTTGCTCGAAGCTCTGAATCATAAAATAGCTTACTAATAAACGAGAACGCTATCAAAAACATCAAAACGAATCGAAATAGGACCGAAAATAATTTCGAAAATCAAAAAGAAAATTCTGCTAAACCGGGCGCAGTATGGGATTCAGAGTGTCGTTGTGCTGCTAAGATGCTGCACAGCTGCTGCATACCTGTAGGAGAACGCACAGATGCTGTGCAACTGCTGCGGGCGCGAACTCCTCTACAGTTGAGCGAGGGTGTACGGTATACAGATGCTGGTTCAGTGCTGTATCATTGTTGCACTCCAACAATTTGCTCAATTTGCTGCATAACTGTAGCGCTAGTGTGTCGGAACTGTTGTTAGAGGTGCAAATGCTGCACAACTGTTGCGGTTTTTTGCTGAGAATGCAATAAAAAATTTTCTTCGAAGTCCCCCTTTAAGCTAAGAAAAGCAAAATCATTGAGCGTTTGTATCTCAAAAACTACTGTAGTTATCAAAATTGGGTAAACTACTAAAATGTAGATCTCAACATTTTACACCTTTTGTTAGTTTACAAAACTAATCTAGCATTTTCAGTTTTAGAAATATGCGCCTTTAAAGTACGCGCGCCCCTTGGCGACTTCTTTTTATAACAGAATTCTGATGTGGTTTTCCAGGGACTCCGTTTCTATAATTTTGCATTTTTTATATTTTTTTGGCTATTATATCAGGAAAATGCCTAGTTTTCAGAACATTTTAATGAGATCTTCCCCCAAAAACATACACGACGTCGTCATGACTTTCGAAAGTTTCCATTCTTCTTTTTTTTCTTCTTCTCGTACGCAAACCAATACAAATTGAAATAAATTTGAGTGCCTAGCGAATTCCAGGTTTTTATTTTCATGGAATTTTACCACCAAGAAAAACGAGTCCACAACCTCTTTTTTTATTTTTTAATCTCAGATTTTCTTCCATCTTTTCTATTCATCTGCAAAATCCTCCTCTATTTTCTTCTTTTTTTCCCCCTTTTTTTCGGTTCCGCCTTTCAGAATGTTCCCTTGGTTACCTCACGCTCGCTTCTCTGATATCTCTTTTCTCGTTTTCCATTTCTCTCGTTTTATCTTCACATCTCTTTCGCTTTAAGCCACCTCATTCAGAGCTCTTCACCGAAATTTTTCAGAGTATTCTTCTTTTTCTTCTTCTTCTTTTCTCCTTGATGTTACGAACTCTATCCTTAAATGAATCGGATACGGTACTGGACTTAAATTGCACGATTAATGTCATTAACACTGCTAAATTTCTCAAAAACCAACTGCAAGCTCAAGCTGCCCAGGTTTGCTTTTTATTCTAAGATTATGAAAGGCCACTCTTACAACCAGTTTGAGTCCATATATCTCGGTGGTTGTTAGAGATATCAAAAAGTGGTGAATTGATAAATGTCTACCATAATATCACAAACGGTTTGTTAGTTAATCAAATTTTGATATCATTCACAAGAGCTGAGATAAATTGACTTAAATATAAGAGGTCACCCGCTCACCCGACTAGCGACTCTTTTTCAACTTTAAGTCTATATAGCTCAGTTCCTATAACAGATATCGAAAAGTTGTTAACTAACAAAATATTAATCATAATATCACAAACATTTTATCAGTTGACACATTTTTGATATCTTTCACAGGAAACGAGATATATAGGCTGAAAGTTGCGCGTTTACGGTAGGTTTCTGAAAAAAGAAGCCCCGCAAAAATGTCTGGTGACGAATTTCTCAATTTTTTTTTCTAAATTTGTTTTCAGGACAATAAATTTGGCGCTGACATGTACGCGGTGACGATCATTGGGGCGTTTGCTTCCGTCATTGTTCTTCTGATGTTTCGCTCGATTCGACCACATCAGAGTTTGGATGATCAGGTAACGGTGGGAGAAAGGGCGATGATGATTCTTGTTTATTAGAGCAGAAAAATTGTGAAAAGAACTAGTGATTAGGGATAGGTGCATAAGAAAAATATAAGGTATTATTTGCACTGATTCTTGAAAATTTGGTTAAGTTCATACAACCTTTTGGATGAATCAGAAAAACACTACACCCACCCATACCAAACCTTCAACTTTGAGCTCAATTATCTCAGTTCCTGTAGAAGATATCAAAATTTTGTCAACTAATGAATTGTTTATCATAAAATCACCAATATTTTATTAGTTAACAAATTTTTGATATCTTTCATGGGGACCGAGATAATTGACCCTGTGAAATAATTGACTTTGTGAAAGATATCAAAAAGTTGTCAACTGATAAATTATTGATGATATCATGATAAAAAATTTACCAGTTGACAAATTTTCGGTATCTTTTACAGAAATCGAGATAATGAAGATCGGAGTTGACGGTTATTCCACAAGACTTTTACTGTTTTTTCAATTTTCAGTTAATTTTTAAGATCAAAATTTTGCATTTTTTTATAATCTCAAAAAAAAAGAAAGAACAACGAAGACTTAAATGCGGAAATTTTTTACTGTAGTTGTTGTGGGACCTTCAGTGAGGGCCACCGCCGTTTAACTAAACTTTGAAGCACCATATCTCAAAAACTAAAATCGCTCTTAAATCTGTAACTATTAAAATATGTCTGAAATTGACTCTTTTATCTATTTAGACACATTGAAACTGCTGCTATGTATCTGTCGAAATGCCTATAGAATATTTGAAGAGAGGGGCGAGAGACAACTGTCACTTTCTTTCAGTTCATTTTGTTTCTTATCACTGATTGGTGTCATCAGGCACCACGTGTTTTGACCGAAATTTTGAAAACGTTTTATAGGTTTTACTGAATTCGAGAGTCAATTTTTGAGTGATCTCCGATACAGTAAAGTTCAGTAGTTATAGAAGAGGATCACATAATTTTTGCA